GGAACACCACGGTACGGCCCAAGCAGGCGCGACGAACTCCGCAAGCTCGCGGCGAAGGCATCACGGCTAGCCGCACTATACGAAGGCGAATCGGAAGAATCCTATAGGCGCACGAGGCGTGGCATGATCCAGGATGAATACGAAGAGAAGTGGAAGAAGGAATGGGAAGCCTACCGTAAAGAACTACGCCAAGGACCCCCAACACCAGCACTCGACACTAAATGGAGCAAACGACAAGAGGCACTACACAAAGGACTCACGAAGGTAGAGAGCACAATTATCACGAACCTACGGACGGAGCATATAGGGCTCAACGGTTACCTCCACCGTATGAGAGTGCCCGGCCACCCGACGCCGGCATGCCCTTGCGGGCATAGCCTCCAATCCCCAAGACACATTGTGATGAGTTGCGGAAGACACGTTGAGGGCAGGGGCGAGCTGTTCCAGAAGGCCAAGACGAGGACGTATGAACAGCTCTACAGAAGCCAGAAAGGAAGAAAGGCCGTGGCCCAATGGCTCCTCCAAAGGACGGACCTCCTGCCATACCTCTCGGTGGCCAGAGAGATGGCAGAGGCGGAGACGTAGGCATTCCACCTCCTACAACTTTACATAACTATGCATACTACGCATACCATGCATACCACGCATACTGCGCATACTACACACACTACGCATACTACGCATACTACGCCGCCTATATCACGCACCCACCCAACAGCTGTATCCACCCGTATACCGCAGCCCCCACATATATCGCAGCCTATACAGCACTACCCCCCACATACATCATTCAATTCAAGGACCAACGCCTTGACGAAGGGCACGCGTGCGAAACGACAGCACGCGTGCCCTCACGCTAATCCTAAACCAGCTCACTACTCCGGAATCAACTCGACCCGCGCCTAGGAGGACGACTGCAAAACCCGGACAGATTTAGGAAGACGCATCACGATGGCTTATTCCGTGGTGGACTTGATAGATCTACCACGTGTCCCCAATAGCTATACAACAACGAGAAGAGCGCTCAGCGCTATACACCGCAGAGGACGGGGTTTTCATCCGAACGCTGCATGGCAGCAAACGGTTTCTCCTTGTAAACTAGCCTAGATAGAACAGCTGCATGGACCCTAACGGGAGCTACACCAGCGTAATAGAATTTAATAATAATAATAATAATACTATACTTTACCTTTATATCTTATATAAGCTTAAACCACGCGTAAATAACCTCTAGATCTTCCTAGAGTATTCTCTAGCAGTTCTTTACTTAATTAAAAGCTATTTTTAGCTCCTCTATATGCAATATAAATTATATAGGCCAGTTCTTACCTACTAGTATCCTACTATATATAGCTAATAGTTTATTAGCTATATCTGCCACCTTATATAACTAGGGCGCAAACCCTTGCAAATCTAGGTTAAGGATGTATTATATAATAGTCTGCTCTTTAGTTATAGTAAGCTTTATATAGTTTAGTTATATTTAGGATTAAAATATAATTCTATAAAGCTAATCGGAGAGCTGCTAATATTGTATATTAAAAGCCGCTGCAGCGTATTATACGCTCTAAGTTTAGCCTAAGGTATAGGCCTGAAGCGCAAGATTAATTCGACCTTTTTACTAAGATAGAATATCGTTATGTTGCTAATGCATTGCCTTTCGTACGTGGTGTTCGTCGTGCTAAGAAAAAGTGGCCGGCTCGGTGGTTTGGCCGGCTTAGTAGTAGAATACGTTAGTTGTATTATTAGTAATAACAGCACTAAGTTTCTAATTAATACTATAGTTCTAGAGTATCGGAAGCAGTATATAGAACTGGTTCTCCCCGCTATATAATATTGTTATATAAAGTGCAAAAAGGCCTTTTTAAGGTCTTTTATTTCAATCTATAAAGTATGCGCAAACGCTAAGTAAAGATATTAGTTTAGGAATATCTAGATATTAAGTAAGAAGTAGACCTTAGATATTGCTAACTAAAGCTTTTTTTATATAATATTCTTCTATATTATAAATAAACTCTAGATTAGCTTATTAACTATAGAATAAGCTGTTATAATATAGCCCTAAACCTCTAAATTAAGAAACTAATAAAATATATAGAACTCTAGCTATTTAATAATTTAAAATAGTAGGTTTAATACAGTTATTAATAAAATAAGAGCTGCAGTAATAGCTTCCTAGTTAAGTATAGATTAAAGGGCTAGCACGTTAATCTTATTTTCCTGCCCGGTATTATAAAGCTGCGTATAGAGATTCTAGAGTTAAGTATTAATTTTTATATAAACAGGGCCCTCCTTCTTTTTATAATAGATATTATACTTAGACTTTAAGTAATATACTATCTCTATACAATACTTACAGTATATAAGCCTTATTTTCTTATAGTGCGTATTTTTAGCTTTATATAGTAACTAGGTATATACCTATAGCTTATATATCTTCTATTAGAAGCTTTCTAACTCCTCTATATTAAGGGAGTTTAATATAGGAGTAAATAGTAATAAATCCGCGTTAGAAGCTATTATTTAATAATAACTACGTGTATAGTATTGCAGTTAAGAAAATTTTTAAGGGGTGCTAAAAACATCCGTGCTAATATTATAAATCTGCTAATATCTGCTAATACGCGCTAATAAACGCCAATATTGCCTAGCGCCAATATTAAGCCAATATAATTGGCAGTATTAATATTGAAAAGCACGCTGGACTTTATTAATGGGGACTAGTAATGGCACATCCCCTTTTTCCTCCACGCACACCCCCTTTTCACTCCACGCATACCCCCCTCTCGTCTGATCTTCTGATTGGCCAGAACGGCTCGGAGCTTCGTCCGGAGCTCTATTCTTACGTGCATCCGTACTGTATAGAGAGGCTGTACAGCCTCTCTATTTTATCGTGCATACTGCAGCCGTATATACAGCCGCACGTGAGGCCGTACGTACGGTTATACGTATGCTATACGTAGGCTATATAGCCTCTCCATTTTATCACGCATCCTTTCCGATTACTGCAGCCGTATATACGCTGTTGTATTGCTACCTGCCGTGCCTACGTGCCTACAAGCATGCCAAAACTGTTAAAACCTCACCTTAATACGGCTCCTCCGCATCAAGCCTGGCCCCCCTCCATCACCGCCCGCACCTACTGAGTATTTCGATCCATATACCCCTCAATCTCTTCACCGTAGGCCGCCTCCTCGTCATACGATGCAAGCTGACGGAAGAGCTCCTCACGGCTAAGCGTCGCCACCTGAGGATGAGGCTGAGGCTGAGGATAAGCGCTATCCTGCCGCTGTACTGCCTCCTTCCGTGATGCTGCCTTCTTCCGTGGTGCCTTATCCTTTGAGCCAAGCGGCCGGCCACGCTTCCTACCTGTAGGTGCATCTGTATAAGGTTGTATAGGTGCGGGCGTAGGTGCTGCTGTAGGTGCTGCCGTAGATGCTGCCGTAGGTGCTGCCGTAGGTGCTGCCGTAGATGCAGCTGTAGGCCTAAGAAGGGCTGGATTAATACAAGAAAGATCAACCGGTGTAGCTGTCGACTGATAGGCATTCCGAGCAACAGGAGCTGGACGAGGGACTACAGAAATAGGCGGTGCTGGCGGCGGAGCTGTTGGCATGCGTCCTGGAGGTATGCTCGTATGTCCTACGGTATTTTGCTAGGCCGTAGCCCTGCGCTGATGCGTGCGCTTGTAGAGCAATATGCGCTTCCTCTGCTGTAGCATAGTACGCCAGCTGTGGCGTCTGGAGGGCCATAGTGAGGGTATTGTAGAGGAAGAGGAAGAGGATGTAATTAATTGCGATCAAGGCCGCATTTGGAGAGAGCATTTGGAATTAGTGAGCGATTTAGGCGAGCGAATCGGAGGCCTCGAAGCAACCCTCCGGGCCAATCAGAACGTGGTGAAGTGACCGGGGGGGGGGGGGGGAAGGGGTGTGCGTGGAGTGAAAAGGGGGTGTACGATTAGCCCTCCCCTTCCTTTATTTCTTAAGCAATATTCACCTGTAGTTATAAAACAGTTATATGGTCACGTGACTGTTAGGCGGGTGCACTAGCAGCTAGCGCCAACCGCGCTAGGAACCTACTTCTGGCGGCTGCGCTCTTGCCCTTCTTCTCTCTTTGTATCACAACTTCCATAGTATAGCAATGCAACCCTTTCTAATTGCTGTTTGCCTATCGGGTCCTCACATAGACAAAGGGAATTTCATAGATTAGACGAGTGCAGTTACACAAGCCTTGAGAGAAATCCCGAGCTAGAGAGTAGAAGAGGCTCTGAATGAGTAACTTCCATCCCAATATCTGCTTTTCATTCCCGAAGTCAGACGTAGATGATAGAACATGGTAATGCTTTCACGGGCTCTAACGACAAATTTCACAAGCATCCTCTCTGGCTATTTGTCACCTGAATTCGAGAGTGCCAAATATTGAGTCGAGAAAAAGGAAAGCCATTCCGAGTTCCTAATCTACCCTTCAATCTCTCCAGATGGACTGATCTCCACCATCGACATTCCCTCGCTCGCCACCGAGCGATCGCGTCCACGGCCAAGTTCCCTATATCCATCCAGCATTAACAATCCACAATTCTTTCGATCTCCCTAAATACCCGAGAATATAAATGATTCCATTTGCAGACTGTCCATAGAATCTTAATATAGATTAGTACCCTTCTTATTCAACTTGATAGGACCTAGGATCTTGCTCCATACTAGCCAGTTCAGTCCTATGGATTAGGAACCAAGATCAGGTTCTGCCGACCAACTAGATCCTTCTCCCACTAGTGTTGCGCAGCTTCAGCCGGGGCCGGAGTCAGTTACAACCGTCGTACGAGGCAAAGCATATCCGCAGAATAGTCGGAGTATTCGGGGGTGTGGGATGTTCCGCGTCACTTCGGACTATCCCATCCCACAAGAGCGACAAAACGGTATTCTCAGGTATGTATCATCCCTAGGTCTTAGAGTTTTCAGTGTTTAATAAGTGAGTTTTCGCTTCCATTAGCATTATCGAGAGCAATGGAGCGGACATACGTTATCATTGTCGGAGCAGGCCCCAGTGGCCTTGCTCTAGCGCTCGCGCTCGCACACCAACAAGTCAAGGTCAGTGCCCCATTAATATGCCTGTTACTCTGTTAGTGAGGGTGTCAGAGAATGCTTACAATATGCTTAGTGTATTCTCCTCGAAGCGAATCTCGACATATGCGAAGATCCTCGGGCAATTGCCATTGCCGGCGATACACATCGCATTCTGCAATTGCTTGGGATTAATCAAGAGAAAATGAAGAGTTTTGGACAGCGTTAGTCAATTTTATTTCACTTTCTTCCGAAATTTTCGCAGCCTAACGCGTGCAATACTTTCTAGCTTTGCCATCCATTAATATTCACCGGCATTCCTTCACCGCGAAGCCCTTCCTAACAATCAATTATGACAAAGATTGGCTACAGCAAGGATTAGCAAATGGCACAACTGTCTTTCAACCAAAACTGGGTACTGTATGGAGGATACGAATGAGGGAGTCATTGCTGACCGATCAATAGAGCAATCGTTGCGCGACTTGGTCAATGCTTCCGATTATGCGGATTTGAGGACAGAGTGCCAGGTGTTGTCTTGTCGCCCTAGCGAGGAGGGTGTAGAGGCAACTTACGACAACAAAGGGACTACACATCAGCTGAAAGGAGCATTCTTAGTCGGTGCTGATGGCAAGCGGGGAACGGTGCGCAAGGACTTCCTCGAGCCATTTGGCATCAAACAAGAATACGGAATGTGAGTATCGAGACACCGGCGCTGCCATTTTATGAAAACAGATTCATATCGAAGCTAGACACGAGTACGAGGCCACATGGATTGCCGCAAACCTTCGAGTAAACGCACCCACCCCCGAATCGCACCCAAAATTCCCACTGTGGAATCAAGGATTCAAATCTGACGAGCTCTGGGACTTGTTCTGGCCAAGTGGCTTCCAGTGTGTCCTTCCCTCTATTCGCGTGAGAAATGAGCGTCCATCTCACAGCTGATACGCATTAGTTTCTGTAACCACCCAACAATGCCAGTTGCAGCTGGCAGATTTGGTCCTGTTAATGAGCGTTTATGGAGGTTATAGCCTGCTCATTCCAGGAAACTTAGTTCGTTTGACTGACTGTCCAGCTTAGATTTGAATATGAATTACCTCAAGGCCAAATGCCACCAAATCTTAACGAAGATCTTCAGAAGCAATTGGAACGACACCTCACAATCCAACCTGGCTACTATCGGTATGGTCTTCATTAAAGCTAGTCCATATGATAAACTATAACGTCTGACACATAACGTGTAACAGGGGAAAATTGATCACGAGTCCCGTGGTGTTCCCTTGGGACTGTGTCGAGATAATGCGATGTCAGCCGGCGCTGTGAGCTTTCGTCTCATCCAAATCAGGAAAAGGCGCCTTTTCTAATGGACTTGCAAACTTTAGGTTCGCCCACAAGGTCGTCAACCGATGGTTTGACAATCGAACCATTTTGATAGGCGATGCTGCGCATGTTTTCCCCCCATTTGGAGCCCAAGGCATTGCCAACGGTGTTCGGGACGCTATTGCATTATCCTGGCGTATTGCCCTGATGATCAGGCTTAAGTCAGGCGCTGAAATTCCAACCCGAAGCAACCGACTGCTGTACGTCTGGTCTCAAGAACGACGAAAAGGGGTGAATGATTCGAGCGTAGAGACGATGCGAAATGGGGCCTTGATGAGGAACAAGTCCTGGATAGTTGCGACAGTGCTGGGTATCCTTAATGGTATCTCAGGATATATGCCTTCCATTCGCGACGCCTTGCATCGTATGCTGGTAACGGACGCTAAAGGTTACGTGGGCGTGCCCGATGGATTCTTCCAAGCAAACGCACATGGGGGCAGTAAGACTGCGCAAATCTGGGTTAAGGCAACTAGCGGCTCGATCCTTCTCACAGACGAGTTATTCTGGAAGCCAAAGTCAATCTTCACTCTATTGATTGTCAGCCCGATCAAGCAAAATGAAGCTGAGGAGCTCGAGCTGATGCTTGAGGCGGCAGACTTACCTCCCAACATTCTGGCTCACGAGATTCCGGAGATCCGCTTCAAGGGATCGTCCTCTTCTGATTACCCCACTTCGAAACGGATCCTCCAGTACACAGTGTGCGAGCTCAGTGACTTGGAAGAAGAACGCATCCACGTCTTCCCTGGCTACGACCACACATCCTTCAGGAACCGGCTCCGCACCGAGGCGCGCTATGTGTTAATCAGACCTGATTTCGTCATCTATTCTCAGGCGTCGACTCTAAAGCAGCTCGTGGGCCAGCTCCAGATCGCAAAAGACATGCTGGCGACATAATGAACGGGGTCTTCACAGCAATGACTCCAACTGACGTCCTAGTTGCCGTTTACGGAGGGCAATTTCTCCTGTCAATTGATCGGAATTGATCAATCTGCCAGGAGCAACAGATGGATTGCTGTGACGCAAAAGTGTTGGACGGGCTGCAAACACTAAAGCTAAAGCTGATTAAGCGGTAAACCGAGAGCCTCGTATACTCTACGGTATATATCTACGCAGGACAAAGAGATAGCGTCCCATATTAGTTTCGTTAGTCAACACAGTATGTTCTCCCATTAGTGGATGCTAGTATTTGCCACTGTGCTATTTCCGGTGTTGTTCATGCGAGTTGTTAGTTGTCACTTAAACAGTTTTCGATACTCAAGTGCTTCTGCTTGCACTAAGTTGGTATTATATGGACTAGGGCATCAACATAGTGGCTAGAAGACTGCGCAGGTCTATATCTGGATTGGTAGATATAACTAGCATTGAAGATTGCTAGCTACAGTCCTAAGAGGATACATGATGTGAGCGTAACTTCTGCCCCATACTATAAAGCGAATGCACCGCCACACTCGACTGACATGTTTCAAGACATACCAAGTTCCTCAGAAGACTCCGCATTATGACAACATCACACATTCAACCAAGCAAAACGGTCATCGCAACAGTATCTAGTAGGGAAGATAATGCTCCACTATGGACGATTGGCTCATGATCTACGTTGGTCGAACGCGAAGATTCTATTCGAATTTCATCGTGTTCTTGAGAGTTCCAATGGATGTGATGGAGACTTCGACGACGTCGCCATCCTTTAGGTTGTATTTGGGGTTCCGGAAGTACCCGATCCCAGGAGGCGTGCCCGTCATGATCGCTGAGCCAGCTGGGAGGGTGACACCTAATGAGGAGAGTCAACGATTTGTTCTGAGTCTTTGTACTTGCGGTGAAGATGAAAATGAGAACAGGAAGTAGAGAGAGAGATGGGCCAGCAATTACGAAGTGGAAAGATAATTGGAAAGCGGAGACTGAGGGGATGGTGAAAGCGAAAGGCTTACCTTCCGATAGAAAGCTAATCAACTTTGCAGAATCATGGATGAGATCCAAAGTACTCTCTTGGAATACCTTCCCGTTGACTTTTGTGGTGATTCTCTTGCCTTCGAAACTTCCAAACTCCTGGGCGCTGATCAGGACCGGGCCCAGCGGCGCGAACTTGTCGAAGGCCTTGGCCCGCGTGAACTGACCGCCCGCCCGTTTTGGGTCTTGGTAAAATCGAGCCGTGAGGTCGTTACCAATGGTGTACCCGAGGATGTAGTTCGGGGCGTCTTCGAGACTGACGTCACGGGCGTCTTTCGATGTGATAATAGTAAGTTCGCCCTAGGATGTTTTAGCCTTTCAGGCCGATTGAAAATGGAAGCTTTGATTCAGAGTATAGCTTAATCAGATATCAATACTAAAGGGAATTTTACCTCGAAGTCTAGGAATTTCTGTTGAGCGACTTTTGGAATTGGGACATCACCGGGGTCTGTCAATGACCTCCACGGCTTGTACCACATGACAGGGTCTTCAGGAACGGTGAGCTATAAGCAAAATTAGTGACTATTCTTGGAGAAAAGGCTCGCGAGACGCAAATTGAGGCAAGGTCTTTTTACATTTGCTTCTTCGGCATGTTTTCGATAATTCGTTCCAATGCAGACAATTTCGTTGGTTTGGACCGGTGTTGGGGAGAGGAACTGGAGCATAGTATTAGAGTACTCAGTGATTATGCGCTTTCAGGCACCTCGTGCCGCGTGAACTCGTGAAGTGTCTTATCGGAGGTTCCCAACCTTCTCAACGCTAATCGACTTCCCGCCTTCACGCTTCTCAAATTCAGCAAAGGACAGATAGCCTGTCAGAGTGAGATGTGAGTTTTCAGTCGAATCGAGTGGCCCAGGAGCCTCGGCGAAGTAGATTTGACCATCGATGGCTAGGAACCGGCTCATGTATTTCCAAGTTGGGACACTCATGGTGTTCGAAGTAAAGACTGGGTAAATCTTGGTGGATGGGAGAGTAACGCGGCTATTCAACGCAAAGTAAAGCTTAGTGAGGCAAGAGGTGACGAGCGACAGAGTACTGAATATGTATTTAAAACACACGTTGACTTGATTGCTTTGCAAGCCACGCGGAGGATTGTAGCTGAGAATCTTCCGCGTGGCCGGACGATCCGGTCAATGCTACGGCTCCACTGAGTCCTTGAAGCTTGATGAAGGCTATAATAAGGGAACTTTGAGGCGATTTTCGGCTCTGCACCCGGATAACTGTTGAGACGTCTTAAGGGCTTCAAGGACGCGGGACCATGGGTAGCGTATGGGACGTCATTGAACTTCTTCGTTGCACACACTTCGGTCAATGAAGAAATCGATGTCTCATGCAATAGGCTACCCTCTATCATTATTGCAGAAGGTGAAATATATCTCTATGCAACCACAAGCGAAATGCGTTCTTTGTATCAAACGCACGTAATTAATATATAATTCTACGAATTCCAGCAGGTACAGATAACAGAGTTGAACACTTCGGCAATGGCCCCTATTAGATACTCTGAGGCTCGCATTTAGAACATTGGCAAGCAAAGGAAAAGAGTGCCATTGACCAGCATAATAGTAGTATCTTCACACCACCGAATGGTCCTCAGAGAAGTCCTTTGGTAGTTCGGGGCCCCAGATCGCCAGCGGCCCCGCCTGACTTCGTACAGTATCAGTATTGACATTGACGAGGTCTCCATCAGTGTAGTGCTCGATGGTAAATCCACTGGTATCCCTCCAGTAATCGAATATCTGTGAACCTAGAATATGCCTTCCCACGCCCCAGACGGAGTGATACTTCTTATTTGCAAGCCACTCGTGTCCCAGCAGCTGGGTATCAAAGTCCTCCACTTCATATGATGTGTGATGCATATGATCATGGTCGCCTGGCTGCGCACGAGCAAGGAAAAGAGAGTGGTGATCCGAATATCGCTCCCCGAGGTCCAGATGTATGAACGCGATCACGTCTACGTTCTCATCTTGCGGGTGCCATTGGACATCGGTAGGAACGAAGTTGAAGTTACTCGTATACCAATCAGCCTCTTCGTACCAGTTGTTCAGGATGTATCCAACGTGCCCCAATTTGTGAATCATTGCTGGCCCGGGATGAAAGCGCTGGAACTCGCCTATATTCCGGAAGTGTCAATGCGATTGCACTAAATGACCGCACATTCTAATAAGGACTCACCGAGTCTTTGTTTCTTGAAGCTTCCATTAGGAAGTCCCAAGTTCTCGACCGTTGCAGATGGCGGAGCAGGTTCTGAAACCTGTCTCTCTTGCTGCCCATACAGGACGTACAAATAGAAACCTGAAGGGGTCTTCAAGGTCACTAAACGTCCGCCGCCAGGGTGAATGAGGTCTGTAGTCTCTGCTCCATCTAATGCGGCGGCCTTGTCGAAATCCCCTTGCGTCTGAGCGACAAAAGCGGCTCCTTTGTAAGCTTTGCCGCCTTTCGGAACTTTGCGAGCCACATAACAATACGGATCTTTTCCGTAGCCGCGGTAGAATGTCAAGTCCTTGTCGCGACCTATCTCAACGAATCCGAAGTTCTTGGCAAATTCCTCGAATGAGCCCATGTCTTCATGATCAAAGTACACATGGGATATGCGTTCGAGCTGGATCTTCGAAGGATTGTTGCGGATCTTAGGGAGCCGTAAAGCCGCCATATCGAACAATTTCAGGTAAGAAGAAGGAAATAGACAATGAGTTCCGTGCTTAGTATCAGACTATACTGGCAGTACTCCATATATCAAGTGGCAGTCGGTGGCAAATCATATTTTGCGCAGGCTTATGGATTAGTAAATCCAATAAACTGTCCGAATATTTCGGTTCCCAATCGCGGCCATCTTCCGCGCGAGCATTATTAAGTCGAAACTGTAGAAGTTGTGAGGTTCCTCCGAGAGTAAAGGATCCTCCGGTCATATCTTTAGGTTGCTCCGTGACGCCGGCGCAACTATGTTCTCAAGCCGGTGCGTGCACTCTTGACAGACCCTCTCAATTCTGAACAAGGATAGCTGGGCTTTCGTGATCTCTTCAATGTTCCATCAAGCTCTTCTCGTCAGTTTGAATGAGAAATCAATGTCACCAAGAGTCACGTGACCTGCTTGGTCACAGAAGTAGGAATATATCAAAAAACTTCCGTACATTGGAAATCGGTTACAGAACAGTAAATTTAGCACCTGAGCCACAGGACTTAAATTCAGGTCAGTACACGGAGACATGCGTATGGAATCTCAAGGCGGCAACATTGCGGCGAATCATGTGATTAACCTTTGTAACGCCGATCGAGGCCAGAGAGCTGTATTCTATGTTTCTCTTCTACGAGTACACTCAAAGATATTGATCACGATGCAGCTAGTGTATTATCTGCTCCCACAGAAGACTTTAGTGGAAGTGACATTGTAAGCAGAAACAACTTTGATCGTTCTATCATTTACTAAGCTTTACGTGAAATCATTGAGCATTCACAGCTTGCTTCCCGAATGCTTGGGGTTCTCGACGTCGACGAACTGATAGTAATATTGCAAGCATTGTGGGTTTGCAATGGTGGCAGCTGGCGTTACCACCTGACCTGACACGATTCGCTTCACTGGCAGTTCAACCTTTTTGCCGTTCACTGTCACCTATGGATGGGAGGATATTTAGTATCAAATCGCTGATTCGCCGGAAGCATGACGCCGAGTGGAAACTTACGGGAATATTTGGTGTGGCGAAGACATAAGCCGGGACGTGTCTTTTGCTCAACTGCTTCCCAATCTCCGATTTGATATCTCGTATCAATTTCTGAGAAAGAGTCTGCCCATGTCTCATCATCACGAAGAGTACTACCCTTTCATCAGCATCTATTGGTCGACGCTGGCCGACACAAATAGAGTCCTGGATCTGTGGGAACGTTCCTTCAAGCACGGAGTAAATCTCCGCAGATCCAAACCTGACGCCTTGGGGGTTGAGGACGCCGTCTGATCGACCAAGGAAGAATATCTGCTTGGTGACAGGATGCTGCTGCACAAGATCTCCGTGCGTCCAGCTTTCTGCGAATCTCTCGAAATATGAGCTGAGGAATCGCTTTCCGCCTGGATCAGCCCAGAATCCAAGTGGTACATTTGGGAATGACGCAGTAGCTACTAGCTCTCCCGGCATACCATCGGATACGGGCGTTCCCTTCACATTGTCGCCTTCAATTGTTGGGTCGAAGATAGAGATCGGTGTCCCCAGAACTGGCCCTTGGCATCCTCCTGTGTGGACTGGTTCCAAAGGATTGCCGCACGCGAAGCTGCCGCAAATATCGGTTCCTCCTGATAAATTCGAGAGCTGGACACTTTCCGGGAAGCCCTCGTCGTAAAACCATTCGAATTGCGCATCGGACAATACCGAGCCGGTGGATACAACAACTTCCAAAGCAGATAAGTCAAACAGCTCACGAGGTTTGAGTCGCTTCCTTTGAAGTTCAAGGAGATACCTTGGTGAGGTTCCAAAGTGAGTGACCCTATTTCTCATCAAGTTGCTGTTAGAAAAAATGCTCCAGGACTGCACAATAAGCTGGAGTCTTACCTTTCTTGCGCAGCGATTTCGAGAAGACTAGTCACTGATGGTAGGAATGGTGATCCGTCGTAACTATCACAGGATTAGCTTTCCTATCAGCAATTGGATTCAAAAGCTATCTCGCTTACAGGATGATTTTACTGCCCTTGAGCAGGTGGAAAATCAAGGCTGCATACATAATCCATCCAGTCTAAATGTGTCAGTGCGTCCAAATCGAAAGCATTGAGCTACCTATTGAAAAGCTTACTCACCGTCGTGTAGGTTAATGATATGGAACGATAGTCCATGCTACGGTGGAGCAATGCCTCTTTGGCGTTGGAAATGATGGAGCCCTTTTGTCAAGTCAGTGTATATACCAACCAGGCCACATGATTAGAGACTTTACGCCAACTGTATGGACAATGCACTTTGAGAACGTCAGTATCTACACGTATGATCAAGGTTCGGCTTTGCATACCTTAGGTGTCCCCGTCGTTCCTGATGAACTGTCATTTTGATAAGCCAGGGAGACAGCAAAATTGATTGGGCCACAAACTAGACAATGAATAAGGGGTCATGGAACGCTACTCTCTCGAAGGTAAGCTCTTCTTTGTCTGAGGCGGATCTCTGTAGCCAACTTTCTGTTGTCATTCTGCCTTTATGATTAGTCCATGGAGTTTACTTAGATAGGAATGTGTGGATGTCAGACGTACACACGTGGAATCCCACTGATATCGTGAGGAGTCGAGAACCGAGGCTGAGAAATAATGCCTTCAAACTCATGAATATCTTTCATGCCTTCAATGACTGCGTTCATTTTAGGTCTCAGGTCAATTTTCTGTCCATTGTAGAGCGCCCCATCATCCATGAACACGAACTTCGGCTTGATCTGTACCAAACGCTCCAGCAGACCCTAAACAGCGTTAGTGCATGTGACGAGCGGCCTCTCGAGAACCGTGGTTATCCGACCTTTGCGCCCATGTCACTGGAGCTTGAAGAAAATACGGCACCTAAAGCCGTACATCCTAGAAATACTTTGAGAGTATCTCCGGAATTTGACGCGATTACAGCGATTCTATCTCCTTTTTGTACGCCGGAGGCTTTCATTGCTCTCGCGACCCGTGCGACGCCTTCTCTCAATGAACCCCATGTTACGTCGCGTTTCTCAGATCCTCCTTCTCGAATTTCCGTGAAAGCTATCTTTCCATCCTCCTTGTGAAGTGTGCTGCGTTGGTCCTTGACACCAGGCTTCTGCGTGTACAGAATGTTTTCGGCGAAATTCAATCTGATTCCATCAAACCAGATCGGAAGACTGGTTATGCTAGCGTTTTCGTCCACAGGTTTTTGGTAGCTACCCTCATGAATGAAGAGGAGATATTCGAAGGCCGCCGACCAGAAGTCGTTTCGACGAGATACCGAGAAGTCGTAGAGTTGTCTAAACGTCTAGACGAAAGTCAGCGTTGCCGTCCGTTGCTTCCAGATGCAGCTGGAAAGCCAGATTGCGAACTTGAATAGGGCTCGCTAACAGTTATATCCAGGTCGAAATTCGCGTTGATCTTTTGCATAAAATCCCACATGTACGTAGACTCTGGATCTGCATGCTTCCATAGGCTGCGCGGCGGAGTGTCCATGTTGGTTGTCATCTTACGAGGTTGAAAGGCCGTCGCTTAAGGACGCGGCATTGAAAGTTGGAAGATATTTTAAGTGTCCCTCTGTGCGACGCTATTTTTGCTCGCAGGTGGTCGGAGGAACATAGCTGTACTTGGGGATCGTACGAAGCCAAACGCGGAGAGAAACTAGCCCACGGTGCTAGTCATGACCAACGACCGGAGCATCAGTGATCCACAGTGAGGATATATTGCGGGGAAAGCGGAGGAACTGAAAACAAGAGCGTTACCCCAGGTTTCCGCAGTACTAACATAGGAAATTAGGTATACTTGACTACCACTCAAGATCTCCTGGCAAACGAGGTCAACACATAGACTCTCGATTTGTGTCTCGATGTTTTGATGCATGTCGCCTACATCATGCTCAAAGCTCTCAATATCGACAAGTTACAAGCCACCGCCGTGGTGTGCTCAATTCTGATCGCATTTTGGGGTTTCAGGTTGGCCCATTCGATATTTATACTTCGTAAGGTCCCCGGACCAGCAGCTGCCCGCTTTACGAATCTATGGCGCGTTTCCTTCGTATGGTCGGGCAAAGCTCACATAAAATACCGAAAGCTGCACGAAAAGTATGGGCCAATTGTCCGAACTGGTCCAAACGTGTTGGATATATCGGATCCTTCTGCGATACCCACGATCTACGGCATCAAAAGTAAATACCTAAAAGTATTAATCCACCATATTGCCAACCATTATCATTGGTGCTGACTTACACACCGAGTAGTCGGATTTCTATATCACATTATCTGCCTCATATGAGGATGAAGTTATGGACAGCCTCTTCTCGACTCGGGATCCCGAGTACCACAGGAACCTCAAGAGACCGGTGACCCAGAAATACTCCATGACTTCAATCCGGGCGCTGGAACATCTTGTAGACCCCTGCAATACGATATTCACAGACGCAATGCTCGACTTGAGCGGCCAAGTCGTGGACTTGGGTGCCTGGCTGCAATGGTACGCTTTCGATGCGATCGGAGCAATCACGTTCAGCAAGCGTTTTGGATTCATGGAAGAACGCCGAGACATCAACAGCGTTATCGCCGGAATCGAAGGTGGCTTACACTATGCTGGTATCATCGGCCAAGTCCCGGTATTGCACCAGTTTCTCTTGGGCAGCCGTACCTTTAGGAAGTTTCAGGAGAAACTGATGCCCAATGCCCCTAACCCGATCAAGACTGTTACCAAGGTATGACGGTGGAAAGGGTGTGCATATACTAGCAAGCCTATCTGACTGCCTTTATAGATGGCATTGCAGAGCATTAAAGAGTACGACAAAGAATCCTCGAGCGAAAGTGAGAAGCGATCGGACTTCTTAGCCTATCTCCAACAACAAGAGAGGGGATTGGAGCCCCAGATGAGCACGCGAGAGATGATGAATCACTTGCTGAACAATCTGTATGCCAGGACACATCAGCTTTCAACTAGCATGTAACTGACTAGCGTAGCTTGGCAGGAAGTGACACAACCGCTATCTCCCTCCGAGCAGTGTTTTACTACGTTATGCGCGATCAGCGGATTTACGAGACACTTCAACGCGAGATCGATGAGGCAGATCAAGCAGGCAAACTGTCGGAGTATATCACATACGCTGAAAGCCTGGAGCTAGAGTATCTGTTGGTATTACTCCCTGACGAAACAGTGCTCGATTGCTAATGATAAATGCCTAGGCAATTGTGTATCAAAGAAGCTATGCGGATGCATCCGGGCGTCTCGTATCCTCTCGAGCGGATAGTTCCTGAAGGAGGGGCCGAATTGTGTGGCATTCATGTACCCGCCGGCACGACTGTGGGCGTCAATGCGGCCACTGTGCATCGAAGTAGAGAGGTCTTCGGCCAAGATGCCGATGAGTTCAGACCCGAGCGCTGGAGCGGAGACCCGGAAAAGACGAAAGAGATGGAGCGTAATCTTCTTACAGTGAGTCCATTGATGCCAACTTCTTCTCCCTGGGCTGGGGCGCAGCACTAATGCGGTCTTGACAGTTCGGAGCTGGTGTGAGAACGTGCATCGGGAAAAATATTTCCATCATGGAGATGGGCAAGCTGGTGCCTCAAGTGTTGCGCCAGTTCGACATTGAGTGGGCGTCAAGCGAGCGAGAGTGGACTGTGACAACATACTGGTTCGCCAAGCAGACGGGGCTATTGGTACGAATGAAGCCTCGCTGCCGAGGATGAGTGACGCCTGGTACTAATGCTCTCTTGGTAACGGAGATTCGGGCGTGCTTTGCGCGTGCAGGAGAATGGGTTTTTGGGGACGGGCAGATGTACACAGATAGTAACTACATCAGTTTCACGAGCCAGTACCCATACAGGCACGTAGGTTACGGGCAAGCCCCAGATCTGTATTTTTCAAGCATCGTCTATATGAAGTCACGAGATAATCACATGACTGCTAAGCGAGCCGGTCCAGACAGCCCATTCCAGGCCGCGAGACACGCTCTTCTCTCCCACAATATAACTGCCGTACATTGCAATACGGACTTCTGCTATTGCCGACCTCCGAGTTCTCACCATCCAGACACCCATGCCGTCCCCGCAGCAGACGGACCCATAACGGCTACCCCGCAGTTTGTTGCGGGTCGGGAGCGCAAAGCGGTTGATGTGTGGGGAATGACCAAGGTTTGTTATTTGCTGTGTTGCTATTGGTTTGCCTCAAATCGGCCCTTTGATTCCAGGATTCGGATACGTAGATCCTGTCACGTGCTTGTCCACCTGCTCCTCTTTCGTCCGCCTTCAACCTCAACCCTCGTGGGCCGTCTTCTCTCCACCAAAGCACCGTCTCGATCTCTGCTGCTGCTGCTGCTACTGCTGCTGCTATTGCTGCTGCTCATGATCCGTATCTTATCTTCTCTTCTATGTGGATTTTGTCATGTCCGCCGCATCCGCAATGCCTGCCATGTCCGCAAGCATCTCCAGCCGCTCCCTCCCCCCACTGTCTCCCAACGCCTCTCGCAACGCCGAATCTTGGGATCCCGCACCAACCAACGCCGAGCTCGCCGCGTTCCGTGTTTGCGACAGTTGCCGAATGTAGGTGCAATCGCTTCCCATGACAGCCACTCAGCTGCCGCAACACTGTCAATATCCTGGTTCTGCAATTGCTAATGTAGCTCCTCGGGTGCGGCAGGAAAAAAACCAAATGTACGATTTGATCTCGCATCTGCCCACTGGACCTCTGATTCACAGTTTTTAAGGTGACATGAAGCGCCCGAGCTGTGCGGCGTGTCGGGTTCGGCGGGCACCATGCACCTACAGCAAGCGAAAGCGAAAACCGGGTGCGCATCAAGAACCACCCGACCCCGTTTCACAGCCTGCATTATCTAAATTTTCACGATTAGGTCCTCCGAAGGGCGATTCGGTAAGGAGGCGAACATCTGAGACCTGTTCCCACTGCCAAACTGGAAGACATGGCCCAGTATCTGAAGGCGGTCCGGGCGGCGGGCCCCTTGTGAACGAGCACATGTCTCCCCCAACTTTGCCCAGTGACATTTCCAATACTTTTGTCGAGCGTAGCCGGTCTGCTCTTCCTGTCGAGGAAGAGGCGGATCAAGACTTTCCTTCTATGCAGTTGCCGAATTTCCGACTTTTCGATTTCTCTCCCTACTACTCGCCTAGCGCTGTCGCCCAGGAGACGACCTCAGGGCTGAGTGAAGATATGGAAGATTACTTGTAAGTTAATCAGCTAATCGTCGGCACCCACTTATGGAGACGATTTGTCGCAGGCTTGAACTCTACTTTGAACACGTACAGCCCGCTTATCCTCTCTTCCGCAAACCCCAGCCCGGCGAAAAATGCAGCGCCGCCCACATTCCCCCACGGCTGAAGATGGCCATTTTCTGCGTTTCGTCGCGCTTCGCAAGCCGCCAGGGCACTGAGCCCCTCCCATCGCAATCGGAATTCGCAGAGCGAGCGGATAACTCCGGTTATAAGAGAGAACTGGACCTTAATGAGATTAAAACCTGCCTCTTGCTGTGTCTGCATTATTTCTCCGAGTCTCTGAACTGGCACACATTAGCAGAAGTCGGAAAACTCACGCGCATGGCCCATCTCTACGGCCTTCGCTATCTCGAGCAACAGGAAAACGGCGTCTTCTGGCAAGACGGAGCCGTTCTTGAGTGTGATCCAGAGGAATGGAGAAATGTCTGGTGGTGCGTATATGCGCTAGACACCTGTTGTAATGCTCTTACGTAAGTTTAAAGACCAATTGGTTACGGTGCACCGCTGAAATAGAGGCCCAGAGTAACCTCGCATTCCTTCGCGTCAGGGTTGCAGAAAACGGCACTCTCAATGACTTCCGTCGCCGAATTCACGAACTCTTCGCACATTGACTTGGAATCGCTTTCCGAAGAACCGCAGTATCTCCCATCGGCCACGTCCAAATACTGGGAAACCATGAGTAGGATCTTCGACCGGCCATCGTGTCGCAGCCGCAACCTGTACATCGCTACATCTGCCCTAATGAGAGCGGCCACGGACGTTCGCTGTCTTGTGCAGCAACAAAATTGCAACGAGGACTTGAACCGCCGCCTACGAGAGCTTGAGACTGACTATGCAGCTGTGAGGCTTGCCCTGCCCGCTTGGTATTCCAACCCATCCCGCAACTTAGCCAGTGGCGAGACAGAGAGGGAGCACCAGGATCGTTTAGACACGCTATTGCTCTCGTACTGGTACATCCACTCTTCCCTTGAAGTTCGCAGTCACGTGACTACGGCTAACCCATTCGTGATGCTTCCAGCGCCTGCCTAACTATTTCAATTACTGCGGCACGAAGCGTAATTTCAGACTCCCTCGATGATAGCTATCTAAAACTGCAAGAGCACTGGCAGACAATCCTAGCCAAAGTGCACGAAATTGTTCTGGTGATCCAGAATTGGAAACCGCAGTATTTCAGTTTCATGAATCCAATGTGCTCTTACATCGTTTTTCTTACTGGTTCCGTTGTCGCACTTGACCGCGCGATGCATCTCGGCACGCAGCCTGCGCTGTCCAACGCATCAGGAGACCTGAACCTCATGATGCTCTTTCTGCGCCAGGTTGGCTGCTACTGGGCTGTAGGTATGTGGCTGATTCCTCTAGAATCAAAATGACTACAATTTGTTAACTTTGAACGTGCTCCAGGGAACCGCCTTGCAGGTTAGTTTGAGAGAGCCCTGATGGATGATAGTGATGATGACTGACGAAAGAATACAGACACGTTATTCAAATTACGGCGATTTGAAGGAATGGGAGCGACGTGTCGGGACGTTACCATGTTCCTGTGGCAGATGACGACCTCGCCGGATGGGACGAATCTATGGAGTCTTCCTGGGAGTCACATCGGAACTGGATGTCAGCTGCAGAGCGCGGGAAATGCAGAGCCCCAGGGAAGCCAACCAGAGAACAGGTCGGGGAGGATCGAAATCACAGACCTGGAATGGCTGGACGATATTTCCCAATTCTCTTGGTAACGGTGTGGATGCTTATATGATTAAAGTATTGAACTGTTATAGTTCAATAGCTGTTCTTAGTGTGCCTTCCCTGATACGTCTTATTGAAGGTAGTACTTAAAGGGTTGCGATAGGCCGAAATTAGGTCAGATGATTTTATCGGATTTACAGAGAAATGATAAAATAATTGCTGCGAATGTAGCATAATTTACCTTGTAAGATACCTCTACGTCTGCCCAAATCGCTCCACTCAAATTCCATTACTAGCAATCATTAACTCGTCACCGTCCATCCCAATTCATACTCTCCATGCTCTCCAGTCGTAAGTCTGAAAATACCCATACTTATGAAAATACAAATGGGAAATGAGCGATGTGGAAAAGACAGATCATGTCTCTAGCGAACTAGCCGGATTGCCTGGCGCTGACGGCAAACCATGCGACGACCCCCGATCTCGCCGTCGAGTAGTCCGGGTAGCATCCTGACGGTCGCCATCCAGAGTCAAGTCCACCGGATGCTGCTCACTGTAACCTCCGGGCTGCCTCTGTCTTTCGAGTCTCGCTAGTCTCAGCTGAAGTCTGGCGTGCTTTTCGGCAAGCCTCAGCAAGCCTAGATCATCGGGAATAGCATCTAAACTGTCGGCAAGCTCATAGTTATTCTCTACCTTAATTGGAGGCCCATGGGTGGCCGAACGTTCCCGGGGTCCAAGGGCCAAGGGACATTCCCGGAGTGGTTCACCGTTCACGACTGGTCGACGATTTGGCGAGGTAGGGAAATGAGAGAGAGGCCTAGGGGGTTGATACACTTGACGCCCAAACGCCGGGCCATTTATTGCTGGAGCTCTAGCAACGCCAAATGGGAGATTCGATGAATGAGAGACTCCTAGGTCAGTGGGGAACGGCGGGTCCCAGGAGCCGGGCTCGTACTGATTGGTTGTTGGGAAGTATGTGTTCCCGAGGGGCATGGTTTCATTGAATGAAACGCTACCGGCTTCGTATTGCCTTGATGGCTGGTGATCTCTAGCACGGCCAAACGGCTCATAGCTAGGTAGGCCGTTTATTGGCCTACGAATTTCCGGCGTAGGCAAGCCATAGCGGACTGGCTCTTGAAGGCCGAATTGAGGAGCATGCAGAGGTGCAAGCTTAGAAGTAAGCGGAGATATAGAATTTGCCTGCTGACTTCCCTTAGAATTTCGGGTTAGGATCTCGATCCCAAGCTCTCGGTAGACGAGTTTCCGAGCCTCTAGAAGGCTCAAAAGGGTCAAATTGGACTTGTTCAGCACTCTGAGTGCGGCCCTCATGCACTCTTGTACTCTAGGCAACCCCCCTTTGGTCTTCTTGGAAAGCTGCCAGATGTCTATAATGAATGTGTGTCCCCATTCCTTTGGGTTATCTTCCTTCTCTAGAAGTTTCTCCCCATTCTCGTTCACTCTGCAAGGCAGAATCTCATGCGGTATGCACAGATGCAGTGCTTCTTGATTCCAATTCTTGGCGGCTTCCTCGATGCGCTTGAGCATCTCTATTTGCATCTCAAATGATAATCTGTTGAATGGTATTTTAGGGTGCCGCGGCCGCGGCATGCTGTGCTATAGATGATTCGAAGTTAGTGGTTGTAATTTACTACATGGAGGCTGAAACACGAGGGTTTCACTTACATTTTCGCAGGCGTCAACTAGAGGGTCCGCAGTTTGATGAATTTGGCGAGGATTCCGGGTTCCAACATGCTCGTCTTTGATGTGAATCTTTGGCGAGGCGGACCTATCTTCCGGCGGCTCTCTTAGACGAGAAGATGAGCGACGGGTTCGTACTTAAGCTGGTGTCGAAGCAACGACTGGAATATCAGCTGCGTAAATCCGTTGCCGAGGGTTTTCTCGGTAAGAATAAATGCATTGCTGGTTCAGGCGCCGACATACACCACACTGTGGTCTTAGCTCGTCGCACTTACGGTGCCGCCACACACAGGTATCGCATGCTCGGCGTCTTCTCTTTGGAAGGCTTTCCTCCTGACCTCGAAGAGTGTCCGTTTCGTCTGTCGCATTGGCAGCATCCATATCGTCCATGATCTCCACGAAATCTGCCCTGTCCAAGATACAGTTGATGTCGAAGGGGTTTCCACGTCGTAAGGGCCCCACCGAAATGTTCGTGGTCGCAACGTTGACAACAGGGCTTGTAATTGGCGGATGCTGCTCACTATCACCTCCGGGATGCATCTTTCTTGCAAGTATCGCTCGTCTCAGCGTCATCTCTGAGTGACTCTCCTTATCTCTGGCGTGATCTTCGAGAGGCCTTAACAAGACGAGATCATCCTCAACCATCACTTCAGATTCAATAGTGTGCGAGCCTTCCTCGAATCGCCTAACGGTGAATGGGGTCAGCTCTTCGCGTCCATTGACCTGCTTTGGACGGGGCGTTAGAGTGACTTGGTAGCATCGCAAGACAGAGAACTCGCACCTGTCTGGATTCTCCACCCTGCCCAATCCCTGCCATCTGAGCCCGTGGTGCTGCTGTGGGTATTGTCTCTGAAGCTGGAGGCTCCATTCCCCTCGGTGTCAGAGAGGCTTCCGGGTATGCACAGTCTAGTCCTAAGTGCCGACAACGTCCGCATTGGGGCTTTGTTGCGTCGCACTTTATCCCCAAAAATATACAGGATTTACAGGTCATGGAAGGAGCGGCCAGAGGACACGAATCTGGGGTGGGAAATGTATGCTGCTTGACAGGCCACTCGGATCGTTCTACTATGGGAATGATCGGGTAACATTGGAATTCTTTCATGACCTCGTTGAGGTCGCGCAACAGCAGAGTTCGAGACCCTGTAGGATGGTGTTGTAATCGCGTCTCAATAGCTGTGACGATTCCTTGCTGTACTGTTTCTAACCGGAAACCAGTGGAAAGCGTCAACAAGGACACGGCCATTTCGGAGGTGAAGTACACGGTGTTGTCCTGGTTGCGGAATTGAGGGGGGACGAAGTCGACGATGTCGGCCAGTGACCAGTTGCGTTTCACATCATCTAAGACGGAAGTCAAGCTGTCTGCGATATTCGTGTCTCGTCCTGCGTCTTTTGCGCCGGGTTTCGCGATGCTTGCGTCATGGAGCCCTGCCTTGGGCGTCCCATCGTTGGAAGTCATCGTGATCACCGCGTGTGGTCCGATTGAAGCTGGGAGAGATTGACCTGACCGAGTGGATAGCGCTGAAAGCACTTCAGTGGGTGGGACAATGTCGGCGCAAATTGCATTAAGGTAAGCGAAATGATGGAAATGATATTCGAAGGCTGAATGCCTAGCTGCTGAAAAGTCGATGGCGTTGAGGTGCAGAGTACGAAAGGCACACGGTATCATGGAAGCGGTAGCTCTCATAGCACGGCTTCCGATCATGTCGCGCAACCAAGAAAGCGTGCGTCAAAAGCGACCAGACAACAAGGGTTCGAAATGCTCCAAAAAGGCGGTCACACAACAACAGAAACGTAATTCTCGATACCGCTCATTTCCCTTGCTCCAAGGCTTGGCGGCTCTCATCGATATCTCAGCGCTCGCCATCCCGGGGACAGGCAAGACCAGACCGGCCCACACCTACTGTAAAGATCCGTTGAGGCCTGAATCACATCCCATCATATGGGTCTATGCACTTGTGCCGACTTGCAGCAGCTAGAGATGCGATGAGTGACACTGTATGCTAAATCTATCAGAGGCTTATCAGAACGGCGAAGAAATTTGTTGTGACACAGCGCACCATGCAGCCACGCACGCGACGTTACGCAACCACGGGGCTGAGAGTGTGACATGAGAGTGGACAGAAGGAAGGTGGATGAATGGGTGATGATACTGTGTTGTATACGATGGGCGTCCAGCGGGCCTGTCTCTGCTGGGCGTCGCGGCTGGTGGCAGTGAGTAACGTCCAATAACCAGTCGACGTAGGGCGTGGGCCGGGAGAGGATAGCCCGTCGCGGCTTAGAAGGAGCACGTGCTATCAACGTATGTCCTCCAAAAACAATACATTTTTTCAGGTATGGCACGTCGATAGAGCGCACAGAAGTGCATGTAGGATTAGCAAAGCTTAAGGAAAAGAACATTGTCCTACAAAGTCTTCAACACCTCCCTGCATTATTCCCTCATATTCGCCATAAACATCAACAGTGTCTTCACGTCGAGCCCAGCTGACCCAAACACCACCATCGCTGCCTACATCCACGGCTCGCTAGAAAGAGTCCTGGCTCCTGAGAGAGTCTGATGCAGTATCCCCAAATCTGGCGAACCGCATTCGCCGTCCTCACTAGCATCGGTATAGCGACATGGCTTCGAGCCTTAGATCCCTGACTCTACAGCTCCTTTCAGACGCAGCTTCCCGTCCGTCAGATGCAGTCCGATAACCGTACTGTCTGAGACTTTTCACCGAGTCTCTCGTCATCTGATCACTCCGTCAGTCTGGTGAATTGTTGTTGGATATTGGCATCCACAGTGTTCCAGCCAGTCCTATTGCTGCGGGGGTGATCGGTCTATCAATTTTGCACACCCTGCAAAGAAAGGTGCTCTTCGATACATCGTCGCTGTACCTCGGACGGTTAGCTTATTGGAGGCATAAAGTCTGCTAGAGGGCCTGAGATCCCTGGAAACTTCGTTCAACCAACCCAATCAGCGATGCCATCTCCAGTCGCGTTACACCGCGTTACAACGGAGCCCCCTGCAGACTATCTGTCGGACGTGAGAAGGGCCAAGTCCTCTATTTTCGTGCTCCCAAACACATGCGTCGGACCTGTGCCGGATCCGGCTTTTGGAGTACAAATTGTATGCGACCCGAAACGCTTGCTTTCAACAGAACGTACATTCAACCGCTTTCGTACTACAACGGTACAGAATGGAGGGCGCGAGATGAGCTCGGTTTCCATTATGTCTGGCATGAACATCGACGTTATCAGTCGAGTGTGCGGAGACTGGACATATAGTCTCCCGCTTACTTCAATCGCATGTCTTGAGCATGTTGCCTTCCAATGTATGCACAAGCAACGAAAAGATGCCAACAGTACCTTCACAGCATAGAGATGCAGCGGTGGTGACTTCATGTTACAAATTACTTATTCCGGTGCCAACCCAATCTCAGACCGGCTAATGATTGAAGCTGCTATCATTTTCAGAGTTGAGGCATCTCCTTGAAGTGTTTTCAGGACGTGGAGTCTTCGCTGCCCCGCTTCTTCTTAAGGTGCTGCCCAAAGAAATGAAGCCGAATTTTCTTCCATGGGTATAACAGTGAATTGACTTCGACCAGCGTACTCTCAAGTCGCCAGAACAGTTACTTCTATGATTCACCGCTGTTTCTCACCCCTCAGTTTCGACAGAGCACCCTAATTCCCCAGCTTCCTGCACGATTCCTTCACTGGGACGTCGAAGAGACGCTCTGTTGACCAGAGCTGGAGTTCACTGCAGCCACTATTTCTTAGCTTACCCGGTTTAATTTGCACCAAGTTCATCATGGAGAGTGCATAAGCCCGGGAGTTGCAGCCTCCTTGACTTACTGTAAACACCCGCCGACCACAAAGCTACTCGCCCGGAGTTCGGACGTGTGACTCTGAGGTCTACCGGGCTAGATATCTGCAGGAAGCTTGGCCCGTTTATCGTATTCACTCAGGGTTTCCGGCCTACGTGCCTAGCCAATTACAACTTCTACAGAGAGGGGTTGGGGTACGGTGGCCTACCCTGCCTACCGCTGCCTACTGCTGCCTCTAATTAGTACTTATGCCTACGCTCCCTATGTAGTATATAGTCTGCTCGTACGGCTTCACAAATCAAACAGAGTTCACGTCAATTTGCAACCTAAGTTATTCCTGCAATTCCATTCAGTACTTAAACCCTCCCATTTTCGATCTTACTACCTTATCTACTTACTCTCCATCTGTTGTCTTCAGGCCCTCCTTTCCCATCGTTGGTCTCTGAGCTTTACATACATCATCAGTACTCTGAGCTTCGCACATATCTTCAGGCACCTTGCTCTTCCAAAACCAATTGTTTGTGCTTCACTCATCAACCGACGTCCTTCCACACGATCTCACTTCTCAGGACCCAAAACTCACCCGCACTCTCTCCCATCAATCGCAAGCGCTACATTCTACGAGGACCGACAGTCTTCCTCTCGCTGTCTCCTACCCTCGACCTCTACCACTCCTGCCTCTATCGACTACCACTACCTCCTTCTGGAAGTATTCCTGGTACTGTCCTCTGCTTTAGACCAGCTCTCGCCCTCGACTCTCACTATACACTCGAGCACACCTCTCCTACACGTACTTAAGAAAGCTTCGCTTCGCTTGCACTTCTAATTTCCCCTGGCCCGTCAGGTATCGCACGTGTCACTAGGCAGTTTTTGCCGACTACCCTTAATTACCTTCTGCTATTATCGAGTGTGGACTCCCGCTATCACCTTTTTTCCAAAACAACTACCGGAAGTAAGTGATACCTTCTTGAGTTTTCGCGCTTCAACACTTTCTTCAACCTCACCGGCCTACTTTTGGAAAATACAATTGCTAAGTTGCTAAGTTCAAATCGTCTGTAGGACATGTCGTTGCACCCTGAAAAGCTGACCGATAAGTTAGACAATGCGGAGCAAGCAACCCTCATCGAGAATTTACACGAAGCCGCTCGGAACTGGGATGAAGACACCTGTATGAGGACAATGGCGCTTCAAGCTCTCGTTCCGAGATTGACCGTGTCAACCGCCTAAGGGAGTCACTCTTTCCAACCGACGCCGGACCCTCGCAACAAGCAAATTCCGCATTAGGAGTCACTAGAGCATCTACATCGCAGACACGCAGCCGAACGTCCAGGCATACTGAGCATCGCCATCAACTCCGGACGCCTCGCCCTCGCTTCCATCCCTCGCCTTTAACTACCTCGAATCCTTTTCCTCTATCGATCGACGTCGGCGTCGCCCAGTCGAGAGAAACGAAGCCTTCGATTCGCGTTCGTCGACCCTTAGACCTGCGATCAAGGTTGAAGATGCCGACTCGGGTTGTAACAGCTACAACCTAGGATCAACAACTCATACGGTTCACGGTCACCTACGTACAGGCACTCCTCCCCTTTTCTCTCTCCTTGATTCTCGTTCTTTGATTAGTTGCTACTAGCGCGCACTCAGCGTGGCGAGGCCCTCTGTTCAGCTACACCAGGGTCCTCTCAGCTGTGTCCATTCCTTTCAAATGGCCTCTATTCAGCTGAGCTGATAAGACCTAATGGGTGGGCCATTTCCTATGAGTATATATTCGGCCCGTACGGCCACTACAATACAAGCAGAGTTCACATCAATTTAACCTGAGTTGCCGTCGAGACTCTGGCTGGGAGTCTCACACGAACAGGCAGCGCTCCAGGTACAGATCCACGCCTAGAGAAAGACATCGAGCTGGCCAAGGACCGTGTCCGACTCCAGGAACTAATCATCGAAGTAAAGGAGCTGGAAAAGAGGGAAATAGTACGGCAGCAGAAGCAGCTGGGGGGTCGGCAAAACCCAATCCCACTTCTAGACTTGCAAGGCCAGACTGGGACAGAGGAAGCTTCCTCGGTCCCTCCAGCACGATCAAGATGGGAGCCTATCCGTTGTCATGATTCCATTAGTAGTCTTGTGTTAGGGCAACGAGGCGGATCGATTCAAGTCTGGATTTTCGATGTCGGATGGATGTCATGAAAGACTTCGCCATTTTTTTTTCTTTCTTGTCTCAGTTCCGCTTCCTTCTAAACTTGTACATACTATCACGCTCAACTACTTTAAAAGGTTTATCTTCTTGCATTACATATATACCTTCTCTTGCTTCTCTTCTAACCTTCGCAACGTTTAGCTGCAGAACGTGATGCATAAAGAAGTTGTCCTCGGGAAGGGAACTGTTGGAAGTTATCAACCTGACGCTCTTGGACACGTAACTCCCGGAGCTTATCCGGTCACGAGCAGGACTACTTCCATAGTATATATGGGCTTTGCCCCTCGAATTGAATGCAATTAAACCTCCCATTAGGCGTTGATGGAGCATTACATATAAGTGACTCCGCATCTAGACATCATGTCTATCGACCCCATACGCCTCTCTCTCGTTTCGCTGCCTTGCTTTCTACTGCATCAAATCGAACTTACTGCCCACCAAAGCTGCCATCCACCCGTCGAGAACAGTGGACCACTCGGGATCTGGGGAGCGTTCGCCCACCTTTTCCAGTCTCGCTGAGGCTTCTCGAAGACCACGCCAGAGACAGGGGAAGTCGAGAGAGAGGACTCTGTGGCAATCGTGGACGACCAGTGGTCACTTTCACCAATGATAACCACTGGCGTTGGACACCGTCTATGCCTTTGATTCTTAGGAAACATTTGAATATGGAACTGTCTACGCAATGTCCCAGCCGATTTGGATCTACGGACCATTTCTGGCTACTCTTGATCAGAGATGCGATTACACTAATTAGTCTTGGAGAAGAGTAAGACTGGAGTGGGGTATCTACGCTGAATTCTATCGTACAAATCTGTTAAATCCCGTTTCTCTTACGTGGCTTAGAGAAACTAGGCGGCCTACCTCCTAGCTATACACGAATCCAGCACTAATAAGCTACTGTTGGATCTTCAAGACGCAGAATATCTTCTCTTCAAGCCGCCATCTCCTTACTCTCCGACCTCCCTGTCTCTGTCCTCTCCTCGGCCTTCTGCTCGACCTCTCCAACCTTAGCTAACGTCGCCGCCTGCGCTTCCTTCTCACCCACCCCACCCTTCCCCTCCTCAGCGACCCTCCCCCCATCCAGTTTCTTCGGGGGCATATTCTTCCTCACACTCCGCCACTCCATCCCCACCGCCCCCAGCACCGCCAAACACGCCATGATAAGCCCCACGCGAAAGACCACCTGCAGCGCGCCCATATACGCCCCCAGCGCCCTCCGCCTTTGCTCCACCGGAACCAGCTTCAGCAGCTCCGTCGCCCCCGTCCCCTGAATCGCCTTCGGACTGACACTGATGCCTGGAATGCCGGCGAGGCGGTTAGCTAGTTGGTTGTTGAGAACGTTTTGCCCAACGGAAAGAAACACGGCCCCAAACAGCTGCTGCCCGAAAAACATCAGCCCGGCCCCAATCGCCACCTCCTCGCGCTTCAGCACCGTCTGCGCCGCCATGTTCGGCGCCTGGGCCGCGAAGCCGAAGCCGAGGCCGTAGATGATTTGGTACCCGATCCAGCCCCCCTTGGACGTGCTAACGGCGAGAGTGGTGAGGAGGCCCGCGCCGATGGCGGTGAGCCCCACGCCGAGGATCGCGAAGGGGGTATAGTAGCCCACGCGACTGACGAGCTGCCCCGTGACGATGGAGGCGAGCACGACGGGGAGGAGGAGGGGGAGGAGGTGCAGGCCGGAGCTGACGGCGGAGAGGGAGCGGGTGGCTTGGAAGTAGAGGGGGAGGTAGTAGACTGGGGTTCTGAGGTTAGTCTATAAGACCGTGTTAGAGGGTTGAGGTTTCGGGTAAAAGAGGGGAGTGAGGAGAGAAGAGAAAGAAGAGGGAGTAGGAGTAAGGCATACCGAATAGCATCTGGTGCGCGCCTAGACACGAGCTGACCCAGAAGCCGGAGATGATGCTGCGCTGCAGGAAGATGCGCGGGGGGAGGGTGGCTTGGTCGGGTTTCCAGGCCTGGATGGCAACGAAGGCGAGGAGGAGTAGGAGGACGAGGACGAGGAGGGCGATGATGCGGCCGGAGCTCCAGGGGTGTGTGGTGCCGCCCCATTGGAGTGCGAGACATAGACACACGACGCCGGGGATGAGGGCGAGTAGGCCCAAGGCGTTGAGTTGGTGTAGTTTGTCTTTGAGAGGAATGTTGGTGGTGGGACGGTCGGGGATGTGGAGGAGGAAGAAGACGAGCACCATGACCGCACCGCCTAAGGGGAGGTTGAGGTAGAAGCACCAACGCCAGGTGACTTTTGTGGTGAAGCCGCCGCCGATTAGGGGGCCGGCTACTGAGGAGATGCCGAAGACGGCGCCGAAGAAACCTTGGTACTTGGGGCGTCTGTGGAGGGGGACGGCGTAGACGATGATAACCATCTATAGTAGCGTGGTGTAAGCAAATATATAGCAAAGACGGACGGGACTAAACGAGGAATGGGGATGTTGAATGATGGTGTCCAAGGAGAGAGATAAACGTACAACGCCCGAGAGAACTCCTCCCGATCCCAGCCCGGCAATAGCTCTCCCCAATATAAAAGCGATCGAGTTCGGTGCCGCACCACAAAGGGCTGAGCCAACCTCAAACAACAAAATAGACGCCAGAAACGTAACTTTGATGCTGAAGACTTTGTAGAGCTTCCCAAACACCAGCTGGAACGCGCAGCTTGTGAGTAGGTACGCCGTGCCATACCAGCCAATATCGCCAGCCGAGTTGAACTCGTTTGTGATCTGGGGGATAGCGGTCGAAATGATGAGGCGGTCTAGGGATACCAGGAACATGCCGACGAAGATGGATGTCATTATAAGTGCGAGCTTGAGACCGGAGGGGTAGACGATGTCGGTCGGCGTGCCCTTGGTATCCTTGGTCTTCTCGCCATCCTTGGGCGCAGATGGCGGTATATTGTTCTCCTGTGACTTCTTTCCCTTCTCATGGGACGGCATGTTGCAGCTGTAACGCCTGAAAGAGTGTCTATTGAAAACCGATGGCCTTGAAGCTGGCGTTTCCACGTCTTCGTCGAAAGCAGCGGTCCAAAAATATACTTCGTATCCACAAGCGAAGCAGAAGCACAACAGACAAAATCGAGGATATCGCTATTAGAAGCAAAATAGACTGTAAAGGAAAGACAAGAAAGTGCAAGAAAGTGCTGAAGAGACGGGCAAAGGAAGATTTACATAGTAACGAACCATTCAGCGTCGATTTCGCTTACTTCTACTAGCACCGTGGCACCCTTGCGCTCGCGTTCAACGCGAACGCCACTAGTAGTGCAGTCAAAGCTTGAACAATGTATGCAAGGCTTAACGTGCTTCGTGTTGCTTCGCGTTGCTTGATTAGTGTATGTAGCCTCGCGCTGATACTGGGAAGGAAGAATACCCCGCTGGATCTATTCATCCAGCTGAACTGAATACTGCTGGTTGGTAGAGCGGCATAGAAGAGAATCGGAAATCCCCGTCCCAATCGCATGTCGGGCTATGATATCGTCCTCCCGGGTCGTTTAAACCGCCGACCACCGATAACTATATCCGCAGGGTATCAGATCCCTAGCCTTTCACAGGACACACACCGTAGCTATTGACGGAGTACGTATTCTTAGCCAGCTAGCCTACGGAGTATGGTACGGTTAGCTCGGCTACCTTGATATAGAACACGGTTCCTATACTTAGCCCTCACAGTTCTACGGTACGGCTTAGTAAGCCTCCACACACACAGAGTATATATACGGCGTACGTAGCCTAGATAGATGCTCATCCAATACATCACTTACCTCGTTCAATGCATTGTTTCACCTCCATCCTCAGCTATCGACTCAACTCCCAAGATGATTTATAAGCGCAATCTACTAGTTATAATAGTTAGACCACCCTCTATCCATATCTTATACACTTCCACAATACCACTAATTGCCGTATCGCGTCCCAGAAAGCGCTGCGAGTTTGGAGAGAAGATTTTGCCTAAGCAAGTGCAGGTAGAAAAACGCCAAGAGACTGAATTCCTCTCTATGTTAGATACTTTTGCCTAGTTACTGGGTTTTTTTGCCAAGTCTTTGCTTGCATACCCTAGGCAGTTTTTATGTCTTAGCATTTTGAGGTTGTAATTACTCTGCAATACGAAGGAGCTCTTTTTTTCTTGAGTCCTATGTCCTCGCCTAATTTCAGTGGCAGGGTAGGACTCAAGAAAAACGAGCTCCTTCGTAGAGTGGAATTAGCTGACCATAGCTCACGTGCACTTCCGCGGAATAGACTTCGTTTCACAGGAGGGAAGGGGGGGAGGGGGGGGAGGTGGTCAACATTTAGCTGTCTCGGAGAAGCCTATGCAGAAGCCCGACTCGAGGACGTCAACCAAGAAAGCATTGGGTGCTACCCGGTTAACTCCTCCCGCGTCACCCTCCTAAACCTTCAAACAAAGCCCAACCCAACCTGCCCGCTTCGAGATGATAACATCCGTTCCCTCAGCACACCACCCTCTACCAAACCCACCTACTGTCAACTACGCATAGCTCAAAAAAAAACTCCCTCGTACAGCCGTATACAAGCACAACACCAGCGCCATAGCAGAACCACCCTACCCCCCTTTTCTTTCTAAACGCTCAGTACAAATCACAACAATCTACCCCAATCGAGCTCAAGACTCCAAAGAAAAGCTCCCCCCCCCCTCGGTCCCAAACTCCCGCGCCCGCTCAGCTCTGCCGCACGTCCCGGTCGCGACCACGCGCGCGGACGGCGCAAAGCTGTGGCCAGGACCTCACCGCTGCCTCGGCGGATGTCGGGTGGGCGCGATGCTGTTTCCGGGCATGTGCGATTCGGCCGGATGCGCTGGGATGCCGGGAACGGGCGGCGGCTGCGTAGGCGCTGGCGCGTCGGTGGTGGGTGTCTCTTGCGCGGCGAGTTGGGGGAGCAGTTTCGGCAAGTAGTGCATCTTAATCCACTCAAGGTGTGCGGTCGTGAGGTACAGGCCGGGTGTACGTTGATGACCGATGATGGGGATCACCGCTTGGGAGCGGTCTGCTCACTGCAGCGACGGAAGAAGTTGTCGAAGCGGGGGAGGGTGTAGATCTGCTAGAGGGTGGATTGGTGTTCAAGCTCGAGCGTGTTACGCATCATTTTGTGTAGATCCGAAAGACCGGAAACCCGGCCAGGGGGGACGCCCGGGCCCCTCAGCGCAGCGAGGGGGATCATAGTGGAAGCAAATCAGAAGATAGAAGTATCTCAAGATTGATGAAGGATTTTGAAAGCGAGGCTGTTAGTATATCTTTTGGGGATGTATCAGTGATATAAATATAGTCAGAACCGGGAAAAGATGTCGGTGGGCAGGGCGAATGAACCGTGCACTGGCTCTTCAGAATGAGACAGATCCTAGCATGAGGAGCATATCTGCCCTCAGCTCTGCGCGCAGCCGAGCGTCGGGAGTGAGCGAAGTTTTCTGCGTTTGAACATGTCTGAAGAATATCGTGGGCCTAGAAGTCATGATGCGCGGCAAGTAGAGCAAAATTGCGGGAGCTAGCCATGGAGGGAGAGCCTCTTTGCTGTGTGATTAAAACGGAGCGCGGCTGCCCCACATCCCGCCGGCGAAGATGTAGCACACCTCAGGAAAAGATGTGGGAAACACTGCAGCCACGAGAGCCAGACCGTTGATGGTTGCCTAACGCTACACCAGCATGAAAGGAAAGACGACGGGTTGAGGTATGAAGAAGGGGGCAATGGTACGAAAGCAATTCATGAAATAGCGAGAGACCTACCGTGACTGAAGTTGAAGAATGTGAGAACCTCATCGCAAGTGCGAGAGAGTAAAGATGATGTGTGTAGTGGACAACAATGTATGACAGAGGAGACGGGATGAGTACCAGAGAACGTACCTACGTGCCTACCCGCCCCAACAACAGCGAAGCAAATCTCGAGGACTAGATCCAGAAGGCTACCAGGCAGCAGGTGGTAGCTAGACCACAAAGGTGTACGACAAGGGAGACGGGACGGGTTTTAAAATACGTACCCATCCGTCTCAGCCTCACCAAAACACCAATCTCGGAGGAGGGGTCCAAAAGGCGGCCAGGCAGCAAGAACAGACAGAAACCAAGCGCGAAGTGTCTGCACCAGTCTCGGCAGAGACTAGGCAGCAGAAACCAATGCAGTGACCAAGTATACGCATCCAAAGATCGCATAACAATATAATTATGATTGAGCCTGATATTACTGAAAGTCGTATACACATGCGAGAGACCCAAGGGGAATCTCTCATACCAAAAACGCCGATCCAATACGTATAATGCCACAGCCTTGCGGCAAAGGAAGCTTCTTGGGATGCAGAATGGTCCCCGCAAAATGCCGCAGCGCTAAATGATGCGATCCAAATATTCAAAAACAGGATAGTGGCAAACGACAGTCGTGAAAATGAGGAGGCGGTGAACGGAGGACGATGGTGGTGTCACGCAGTCGCACGAGGACGAACTGGCGAGGGAGAAAACAGCATCCTTAAGCCGGACGGCTCCCTCTTCTTGGGCTTAACCTTCTCCTTGCTCTTCTCTTTCCCACTACGCGACGTAGAGCTGCGATGTGACTTCGAAGAATGCGTCGACTTCGGTGCGTGGCTTCTGCTCCTGCGCTCACTTCGTCTCGATTTGAGGTCATCGGCCTGCAGTACGCCCTCCGCAATAAGCTGTCGCGATGCGCCAGGCGTGATGAACTCGCCATCGACAGTCGTTCCCCTGCTCTCGACCTCAGCCTCGGCAATACCGCGCTGCCAAATTTCGATGCGAGAGAGCTCTGCGGTCTCCAGCTGGTCCATCTCCAGGGGTTCCTCGAGCTCGGCCTCGGCTTCTTTCTTGGCGCGGATCTTCCTGATGACTTTGTAGCCGCCCAATGCGATGATGGTGACGCCGACACCAACACCGGCGGCAATCATGAATTGAGGTGAGGCGAGGAGAGCCACGACGGCTGGGAATGACCCCTTAAGCGCAGTAAGCACGCCGGGGCCCATTTTGGTGAGGATGTTCGATATTTCCCCGAGGGTGAGGGCAACGGCAGCCAGGGCCTCGGGGTTCTTTTGCAAGTTCTCAATCATAGCCGTGACACTGTACTGCAAGCAATTGGCCTCGTCTAGCAGCATTGTGAGCTTGTTCGCTTTCTCTCGCAACTCCCCGTCATTGTATCTGGGGGATGGTAGCGGCGGTGGGAGTTCTCCGTATGCGAGATCCATATCGATGTGAGGCTCAGAGTTCGAGTGTGATGATATGTGCCTTGCCATTGTCACTGGCCCATCTGTGTGTCGTCGTAGTAACTCCCGCCTATGGACCTCCTCTACCTCGTCCTCCATACGGCGGTGAGTGGGCCGGCGTGGTAGAGGCCTGTCGTCGTTCTCGTAGAAGCTGTCGGTATAACCGCGCTCGAGAGGGGATTTAGAATGGTGGTGGGACTTGGATCGCCGGGGATCGCGGGAGTGCTTTGAGGAGGCTCGGGAGCGGACGTCGTCCTCAATGCGCATCGTCTTGATGCCATGGATGGCTTTCCGCTCGTCGAAGGCGGCATTGCGCTCGGCCTTGATCTCGGCTTTGCGCTCGCGGTAGGCGGACTTGGCTTCCTTGAAGACGTTTATGAGGTGCTTGCTCTGCGGACGGTTAGCATTCATGTACACTGATCAAAGTAGCGGTGGGCAAACACGCACGCTGCTCACGACCTTGCCAGACTTGTTGATGACGGTGATGGTCTCGCCGAGGTTCACCATGGCGAGTAGGAGCGAGACGAGAGGTCCGCCGGTGCAGTAGGGTGTGTGGTGCTGTGGAACCTGGGTGGTCTGGCCCAGTAGTACTTGGTCAACAAGTACGGTGAAGGTTGTCTGGCGATGTTGGGCGCATGAGACAGACGAGGGAGTCGAATCGAGAAGTGCCAGCAACGCTCGAGACAGGACTCATATATCAAGAGAACACAAACGGAGGGTTTCGCGGAGTGGCAGCAGCAGAGCAGGGCGCGAGATGAGGCAAATAGTGCTACTCTCCAGCGATGGCCTCAGCCATAGTTGCTAGCACTGGCGCATACAGGCGGCGGGGAGTGGCTCGGGCGCCGTCGTCGACGACGCGGATCGGCTTTGGGGAATCGGCAGCGCTGGAACCGGCCCAGTCAACGCGGTGCCCGCGGCGTGCTCTCGTGGGCTGGTGAGACGTTGAGGGGTGGGATTCGTGGGAGCGGCCTCAGACGTGGTCGCGCCGTCCAAGACCAAGGGACGTGCCGGTCGTTCGTTTGGTACTTCGTGGCCGCCCGCCACTCGTCTGGCTGCACGCCCCCAATCAATCCCTACAGCGTATCGCCGCCTCACCGCGCTCATTGGCACCCTCCACCGCAAAGCTTTTCACGGCCTGCAGGCGCCGAGGACGTGTCGCTCAGGAGACTGGCTGCCGGCGGGTGCAAAGAGGAGGCTGATGTCAGGACGCGTGCAAATCTGAGATACAGCTGCAGCCGCCTGCAGTGGAAACTTCTGCCCAACGTGCTGGGTGAGCGAAGCCTGCAGCGAAGCATCACTGCCCGAAGGAGCGCCCCGATCCTGCGTCGTCACCAGACCTTCGGCGTGATTGTTCCAAGGTTCCAATTCTCAGCTTGCATGAAGCAAGAAAATGCGCCACAGCTGCACCGCCACATAGCCACCTCATCGTCCTCTGCCTGGTGCTCTGGGGGGTGCTCTAGGCCCGTTCAGTGCCTGGCGATGGTGGAATCCCCAAGCATCACACGGAGAAGAGCTGGCGGCTGCTGCTGTCTCGGGGTTTCAAGGTCCGACGTTGCGAAGTAATGGTGTCGTCTCAGCATGTGAAGTGGGATGGACGGGACGATTTTGTTTCCCACCAGGGTCCCCTGTATGTACAGCCAAACCGCAAGGCTGTCGGGCACTCCCGCATTGATACCTTTGTAGCGTTTCCTATCTAAACCACGACGGGGCTGCCCCTTCTGGGGTTTAGCTAAATATAACTTCGTTAATGGAGACGCAGGTTGGAACTGTAGCATCTAGTTTCACTCGTCTTAAATATGCACGAGAAGGTCGATTGAAGTCTGCGGAACTGAACTAGGACAGGGTAGGTATCGCGCTTCTCTAGACACCCAACCGCTACAATCTTCTCCAGTCTACGATTGAGAATCTCAGTTAATTGTTTCAATAGCAACATCTCTCGACTCCTACATTACGAAGTATAGTGGCCATCTGTTGCCATTTATATAAGCTAGATGGGAGTTGTCGTATTGCAGGAGCGAATGTATGTACCTAGGTATCCACAGACGCAAAACGCCATACACGCCAGCCCCACTCGTGGCGGACAAATTCATTGGCCTAGATACAGGTCACGTATAAGGGTAGATGGTATTCGCTGGCCGGAAGAAGACCTGGCGAGTGTCGAATCGTTGTATGTAGATCTCGGATTACCTAAATGCCCAAAGTCCTTGCCTTCCGAGCTTCTTTCGTTGCTGTTTCGTGACCTTCTTATCACGGAAGTGCGTTATCCGTAGCCCCAACATTTCTACACGTGGTACCACTTGACGTGGGTGATCGGACCTTTATTCCTGTAAAGGGTCTCGATAGTAAGAAACGTACTCACGGGTTACGATATCATTCCTTGGAAGCAAACCCCAATTGAAGTTGGGAAGATGGCCCACATAGTGAAAAACTTGTTGGTGTCAAGACAAGATACACCTTCGATATCGGCGAAATTTTCATGATTGGCGACATCCAAAGCTGATTCGTCAGACTATTGCGAAAGCGATAGCGAACTTGACAAGCTTTCGGATCTGTTTGAAGATTGAAACTGAGAACCGGATGATGGTGGGAAAAGATGTGGCGGTGGCTTGAAGTCTTGTCCCTCAGCCACAGCTTGCCACGACACCCTCCCCCACGTCGAGCCGGTCTGTCCGGCACTTACTCCCGCGTTATGGCGTTCCTTTTGTGGGCCGTGATGGGATTGCTCGTTCTTGTGTGTGGCTGGGGAAGAATAACCTTTTCCCCGAGGGCCGCAACCGTAGTGGTGTGAGGTCCTCGTGGAACTCCGTGAATCAGAGAGTGCCTCGTCCTCATGGATCATCTGACAGTTGATCATGATGAACAGCTGGAAATGTTTACCCTTATCGCTTGAGTGATGGACAAGTAGTACTGCCCGTCGTGAACTTCGTGGGGATGTCCTTTAGAACTAAAAACAAAAGACAACGCATGAGTGTTTGAGTGCAGTCTTAAATTAATGAGGTGGGTCAACCACCTCGTGTCAGGTGTTTGATGCTAGCCAAAGTGAACTTGATAGATTGCAGCAAAAGCAACGTAAACCCACACATGCTCTGGCCTGCCAGCAACTACTTTCGCCTACCTAATTCAAGACAGTTGTCGAGTCGAATCGAAGGTCGGTGCGCAGTAGTAGGTTAGCATCGCTGTCCAGTTGAAGCATGGTAAATAGTTTGTCCAAACGACTAAGCATGACCACGAGTCGTAGTAGAGCCACGAGGCATGTGCGGTGTCGAAGAGGTGGTTTGTTGTACCAACTAGTCCCACACCAGAAGAAGCACACGATAGCCACGGCGTACAAGGGGGTAACATGAGCGGGCCAGCTGCCCTCCCTGCAAGTTTTGGGGGCGTTATAGTAAAGTCCTAGAGAAATAGCATGGATACGACTATAATGCCCCTAAAACTTGCAGGGAGGGCAGCTGGCCCGCTCATGTTACCCCCTTGTATGCGCGATCGGTGGCATGCACCAAAAGGAGCTGCTCAACGAATCCGATGCCTCATCGCTCAGCATTGGCGTCGACATCGCCCCAAAGGTCGAACACAAGCGCCGCAATCTGATCGTGCGGTGAGCACACCACCAATAACCTCACAGCCATCCGTTCGACGATCGCCATCGGACGGACATGCCCGGCGTTGCGTTGCGTCAACTCGGTACCTGCATGATCGTGCATCTTCGAGGTGGTTACCCAAGATCCCATAATGAAAAAGGCGTCCGTCGCCGAGGGCGTGCCTCTGTGCAATGGTCTCAGACACGGAATCCATCTGACGAGTCATCCGTCGATTTCGCCATCCCGGACTGCGCGCTCGTCATCTCATATCTAGAATATCCCGCAAGCCGTAGGGGGGCTCGCTGAGCGGTGAGGTTGCGATGGCGAATCTGAGAGGGAGCTCGGAGTCCTGCTTCGGCGGTATCAGGAGTCAAAAACGACATGTAGATTCTGCTGGTGACTCCTGCTTCAGTAAAACTACCTTCGCGCCCTTCCATCCAACTAAAGCGTTCACGCCCCGCCTCTTTCATTGCCGCGAGTTTTCAGGGTGCACGTCGGCCGGTCGTGCTATGTGTCAGTTTTCAGAAACGCCGGAGTCGAGAGGGGAGTCGTCGGAGGAGTCGTGGGAAGTGCCAGGTGAGAGTCTTTTAGATCAATGAGTGGAGGTCGATGTCCCGTGGGTGCAAGACTTGCAATCTAGGCTTGGTACAGCATGGCGGTCCACCCAAGTCCAGCAAGCCCAATTGGAGGACGGGTGACGCCTCAATTGCGATGAAGAAGCTGGGCGAACAAAGGTGGTGATGATATCCACTTCGAGCGCCAGGTCGGGCCGAGCCGACTCGTTCGGCAAGTCGGCCGGGATTACTGCCAGCAACCCACTCCGACGACCCTTGATGCCACCCCGATGTCGACCGAGCGCAGTCCTCGACGTGTATTGACTGACGATTTGCGCGTAGACGTCTCCACGGATCACGATGAGGCGGTTGCAGATGTCGAGGTCAACGGCCAGCGGGCTCTGCTATCGAGACCAGCCAAAAACCCCACCATCTTCCACCGAATGAGACATGACAAGTCCATCCTAGCCGTCGTAGTATCAACTTCACACATCTTCGCTGGAACACAAGGGGGAGAGATACTTGTGAGTTGATCTGAGCTCCTGACGGCCTCATCTGATTCTGGAAAGGTGTACAGTCTAGATACGTATGGGTGCGTCAAAGTCATTGAAGGCCACAGAGGGAGCGTGCTGGGCCTCTGCCTGTCGCAAGATCAGGATCTTCTATTTTCTAGTGCAGGAGACAGGATCGTGAACGTAAGGCATACATCACTGCGCTCAACGCATCTGCTAACCTATCCTCAGGTCTGGAGCACCAAGAACTTCCTCCGCGTCTACACCATATACTCCCTCTACGATGTCGGCGACATTTTCTGCGTATCATACTCCTCCTCCCTTAAAACAGTATACTTGGGATGTCAGAACACGAGCATTCAGGTAACCTACGACAACTCCATTACGCTACACGTGGTGCTGACACGCCGATAGTGGTACGATCTAAGGGAAAAGGACATTCGCCCTCCACCAGACCCTAAAGCACACCCCGCCGAACGTACAAGCCGCTTCTTTGACTCGTCCGGTCCTGGTGGTGTCCAAACCCCTCGACCGCGGTCTACAGATGATGGTCCTCGGAATGCGGTAGGTGGCCAGTCGCTGGAGATTCATAATCAATACATTCGCCAATTCGCACATTTCGGCTATGTATACTGTATGCTCATAGCTCGGGGAATAACATCGGACGATCCAAACGAGGAAATACTCATATCTGGAGGCGGAGACGGAGTGATTCATCTATGGGGTCTAAATGGGGACAAAGGGGGTGCCATATATGAAGTCCAAGCTCTCGGGGACGACCAAGAGGGGGAAGCATCAGTCCTGTCTCTTGCATTGGATGGAAAGTTCCTCTATAGCGGACGTCTGGATGGAGAGATCAACGTCTGGGACTTGGAAACGTACCAGCTTGTGAGGAGCCTCAAAACAGTCACTGGCGACATACTATCACTGAGTGTCGGCGGTGGATTCCTGTTTAGCACTGGAGTGAATGGTTTGGTTCAGGTAAGCCGAATGTACAAGCGGGTTTAGTACGTTCTAACATTCGCACAGAAATTCAATCGTCAATACGAGACCGTAGCGACATTTCAAGCTCACAGAGAACGTGTCTTAGCATCCACTTTTGCATACAACAGCAAATGCAAGCCTATATTCGTCACGGGTGGCAACGATAGCACGGTCGCGATCTGGGATGTGCAGGATTGCATTTCCGCCCCAGCCAACAATAAGCGGACAAGCAACGGTAACTGCTCCAAAATTCTTTTCACATTTTGTATATTGCAGACACTAATTTAGTCAGAGCATCTCTTCGAATTCCTCAAAGAGTTTGTTTCGTACCGTACGGTATCTTCTGATGCACGATATAAAGGTGACTGCCGAAGAGGTGCTTCCTACCTTCGATCCGTCTTCAAAAACTTTGGCGCTGCCACCGAAATGCTCAACACTAAGGATTCTTACAATCCTATCATTCTTGCCACTTTCCGCGGTAATCGTCTGAAGCAACCGGCGCGCAAACGCATCCTTTTCTATGGCCACTACGATGTCATCCCAGCCGAGAACGAGCAAGGGAAATGGATCTCAGACCCTTTTTCGCTTCAGGGAATCGATGGGTATCTCTATGGACGTGGAGCGTCTGACAACAAAGGCCCTATCATGGCCGCTATTTTTGCCGTGGCAGATCTTATAGCAGAGCAAGCCTTGGACTCTGACGTCGTTTTCTTGATCGAAGGCGAGGAAGAGTGTGGTTCGCGAGGCTTCGTAAACGCTATCCAAGCCAACAAAGAGCTCATTGGCGACATTGACTGGATCCTTCTAGCCAACAGCTACTGGCTCGACGACCAAAACCCGTGTCTCACTTACGGCCTGCGCGGTGTGATTCATGCGACCGTACAAGTCGAATCCCCACATCCCGACCTTCATAGCGGTGTCGACGGCAGCGCCAACCTTGACGAGTCGCTCAAGGATCTCATCATGACACTCGCTCAACTCACCGGCAAACACGGCAAAGTGCGAATTCCAGGCTTCTACGACCCCATCTTACCCCTATCCCAGGACGAGAAGAAGCTCTACAAAGACATTACTCAGACCCTCGTCCGTGGGAACCCAGACCTCGGCGACCCAGATGAGCTCGCAACCTCTCTCATGCGACGATGGCGCGAGGCCTCCCTCACTATCCACCGCTTCCAAACCTCCGGCCCGGAAAACTCCACCATTATCCCTCGCCTTGCTCGCGCCTCGCTCTCTCTTCGCTTAGTCCCCAACCAAGAGTCCACTGTCATCGCTCAATTGCTCACAGACTTTCTCCATCAAGTCTTCGATAGCCTGGACACCGAGAACAGCCTCACCGTCACCATCGATCACGTCGCCGAACCCTGGCTCGGCGACTTCAACAACCAAATTTTCCAGACTCTCGAGCGCGCTATCATCGACGTCTGGGGCCCGACGCCCGCACCCAGCCCGAGCGTCGCGCACCGGCGCAAATCGTCCGCTGGACACGCCGCCCGTGCGTTCGCTCAGCGCAATTCGATCACCTCAACTACGCTGGCCGCTGGGTCGGGCGACAAGGACGCGGAAGAACCCGCTTCCGCGATCGCGAACGGGAAGCCGGAGCAAGGCATGTTCGTCACCAAGCCGCTGTATATCCGCGAGGGCGGCAGCATCCCGTCGATCCGATTCTTGGAGAAGGAGTTTGGAGCGCCCGCGGCGCATTTGCCGTGTGGGCAGGCGAGCGATTCGGCGCATTTGGATAATGAGAGGCTGAGGCTTGTTAATCTGTATAATAGTCGGCGGGTTTTTAAGAGGGTGTTTAGGGAATTGCCGAAGAAAGAATAGAAAGGGGGAGATGTATAATATGTTCAGGGGTTCTGGTATTGGCGTTGGGGTGGGTGTTTAGGGTAAGATGGGACGCAAGTGGCTGGGTTTGTGTACTTGAATAGAGGCACCTGAAAAGAATGGGGAAGCAGATTAAATGATGGTAGCTCCAAGTTAATTAGAATTTTTCGTTGAAGACGACTCCCTCTACGCCCTCGACTGCGTATCATCACCTCCCTCTGACCCTCCGATCAAAGCAATTACGCGATCATTCTGGACTTAGTGCTTCAAACGTCAATTTGACGCTGTAAGCACATTGGAAACCGCCCATACCCATTCAAGGCCGTTACCCCTCCCTCGAGATGAGGAGAGCGCATAAGCCTTCTCATTTGACGAAGAACGCGCCAACTCCAGGAAAAGTTTGCTTTGCCTCGGAAGTATTGAGATGCAACGAACGCAGCACAGCGGACAGTCTAGATAGCCGCCGTCAAGATTCAGGCGCCCCACTACATAGCCAACACGAAGTTCTGAACAGAAGTAACCAAGATAGGCCCGTTCGAAGCCTAGGCCGAGGGGGTGGAACGATCGAAGCCGTGAATCGATTGAAGCCGTAAAACCAAGAGGGCCGAGGGGTAGTTAGGGGCCCCTTTGAACTTGGTTCGAGGGGGCCCCAAAGTCGTCGTCGTCGTCGTCGTGAAAGTTGTCCTGGGGTTCAGCAGCTCCGCTCATTGCAGCTACACGATGCAAAAACCATTGGCATCTCTAATAGGGCGATGCCAGGCAGCGGCCGTAGGACTGGGTTGTCAGTTGTGAGAGATATCTCGGACCCGGAGGAGATTAGCTGGTTGGTCTGGTTGGTCGAAAAGTGTTGCCAAGTTCGGTGCCTTGATCCAAGGCTGCTAATGAAGGGACTGGTTTGAACCTTGTACGCCTGGACCGTGGGCGTTTCGTGATAGCCAGAACAGCTGTACTTCTAAGTGCTTTTTGTCCTCTGATATTCGGATTGGCTTCAGGGCGAAATATGCCCGCTCCCAATACGCATGGGCATGTGTGGCAAAGGCAGACCAGGTTCTGGCAAACCTCTGTGCCACGTGGGAAAATTGCAGAGTACCACGCATCGACTTGTTCATTCGACCAAAATACTCCCAAAGCCTGCCAAAAGGAGGGGACAGATTGTTCGACGCTGTTGTCTTCATACCGCATCGAGAATGGACAAATATGTGCCACCTCAATAGGCTCGCCCGACTTTGTAAGGATACATGTCTTCTGGTCTCTCTGATAGCACTAGAGATTATTAGATAAATTAAGATAAAACTTAGGATAGACTATATATATAACTATGCTATGTGTGAGGGCTTAGTAAGCCGTTCCGCTGGCTGTAGTTAGGCCGAATCACCAAGCGGCGATGCTCAATCGCCTCACCCATTGCCCGCCCACTGTGTCCAAGCTTCCTCTTCGACTGCATCTGGAATTGTCGTTCCGCGAAATAGGCTATCAAAGAGGGCCACGTCGACGCCCTGCAAGTCCCAGTCGTCATCTTCGACACCTGCAACCCCTGCCCCGACGGGAAACTGGGACTCGTGAATGTTGCCACTGCTGAAGCTGGAGCCGCTATTGCCTGCGGAGGGAGGCTGTTGCGGCGACGCTAGCTGGCTAAATTGCAACTGCCCGGTCTGCGCATTCTGATGATCCAACTGGCTGCCGATCTGATATACCGGCGGACTGTCAGACTCAGAAGACGGTTGTTGGCTGTGTTGGCCCAGCTGATCGGGGAGCAACATGTCTCCGCTCAATGTGATCGGGAGGCCTTGCTCACCCACTGTTGGTGCGATTGAGACAGACTTTGAGATAGCGCCGCGCTCGAAATTGATGGTACCAAAGTAGGGGATGTGGACGTGCAGACCTTTACCCCCGTTCGACAACTTACCGTGATACTCAAGCTCTTCCTCGTCACCTGTGGAAGAGTTGATACTGTAGCTAGTGCCGCTGACGGCGTTAGCCTCGATGGCAAGCAGAGGGCGGAGGATGCGGGCGATTTTGGAGGCGATGGCATCGGTACCAGCGCGGGCCATGGATTCGATGATCTCAAGAGTGCGCTCCATTATGCCGCGATCGCTGGGGCGGCTGTGAGCGAGGAAGCTGAAGACGGCGCCGGGGTTCGAGTTTAGGGCAAGACCCTGACGCCGGCCGCGGGATTCAAGATGGGCGAGGCACAAGACCGTGGTAGAAATGAAGGCGAGAAAGTCGGTGCCACGGCAGTAGAAGTGGGCAGGGTTTGAGGTGCGGAAGGCTACAAAGCGGGCCAGAGTCTCGCGGCTGACGTTGACGGCAGTGATCTTGCTATGATCGTACCTATGGTCGGGAGAGGAGCGCAGCATGTAGGGTAAATGCAGCCGTATTAGCAGGTGATAGTGGCTGAACTGGTCCATGAGGCGAATTGTCTCGTGGAGGACCTCTGTGCCGCCCATATTGCTAGCTGAGAGATCGGGGATCAGCCACCACTGGGGCGGCATCTCGGCGGCAGCCTTCTGCAATAGCGTGTCGATATCATGGGTTTCGGATAGGTTATTTTCGTTGCGCTGCAGGATGCGGTCAGCCATAGTGCAGTGGATGCGCTGCATGCGATCAATGGGCTGGCACCCTTTCAATGACTCTGATGATGCGAAGCGTGCTTCGAGCGAAGTGCACGGCAGGCCCAGCATGAGCGAAAGATAGCGGTCCATTTCGACCAGGCGAAAACAGATTTGGTCCGGGTTGAAGATTGCTCGCATTTCCTGTGTGAGAATCTTCAGCGACGGCGAATTGAGACCGCGGTGAAGCGCCATCATCTGCGCAACGGTGGTCGCTCGGCGCATTGCCATCCACGCCCTGTGGAGGTTGCCGGCATAGTTCTGGTACTCAGCCTCGATCATGATGCACTCGAGGCCCTCGACGGAGCGGATAAGATCTTCGTTAGTGGTTACAAGTCTGATGGCCGATTCGACGACGTGAGACATGACATCGTGGTAGGAGGAGCCCAGGTCTGTCAATTCCTGGATAGCAGAAGGGAGAACACCTTGAAGAAACGTGCCGAGCACTAGAAGCTTGCGCGCAATTAGCACCGGATGGGAACCAGGTGGGGGCAGTTTCAGCATCTCCCGAGGCGAGGGCGGGTCCCAGCGCATGGAGCTAGAATAGGGTGTGCATATTCCGCCATGAAGATGCGCTGAAAGGCCAACGGGGAGTGTGCAGATGATGTCAATGTCGCGCTGGCTAGGCCATGCTGCGGTGAGAGCGCGGGACAGTTCCTCATACTTAGCTGCGGCGCGCCTGCTATGGATTGGAGAAGCCGTTGTGGCATGCGAGGGCCGATCCAAAGGGGGCCTTGAGAGGGCGAATTGGCCTGTATTCAGAACGTGCTTTCGAGGTATGAGAATAGAGTCTGGTGAGGGCTTGAAGGCTGGCAACACGCACCCCTATTCTGCTACCACTACAACCGACGGAAGCACCAGCCTCAACTTCGGATGGGACCGGTGTTGGAATGCCTGCATAACGGTTCGAGTCAACCAGGCGCTCGACGAGTTGCTCGACCCGGCCGAGCCTCGTCTCTACTGGAATGCTACCAGCAGAGGGCATCGGCTCGTCGGGGTACTCCTGGCTGAGGCATGCCGTCCCTCGTCGCCTGCAGTTCTCGCAGACGGCCTCGGTGGCCGCGAAGATGCAACGGACCTTGCGCCGCCTGCACTCCCAGCAGTTTTGGGTGCCCTTGCGGACCTTTCTTCGCTTGGGCTCCGATCCGTCCATCTGGGGGCTTCCTCCGGTCATTGCCCACTGCAATACTGCGCAAGAGGTATGTTTTTCTTAGTGAGTTCGGCGTGCTCGGGTTGAGAAAAGGTGTTGATGCACCGAGGTGATGAGATTCGGTCGAAATATATCTCTAGTACCAATGCCAATGCCACCAAGCTTATCTAAGACGTTTTAGTGGGTGTTTCAGCCGAGCTCGGTGGACGAACAGCCACAGCGTCCAGGCCATCATTTCATCTGTAAAGTGGTTTACGGGGACACCCCCTCAGGTTTAGGCGGTCCTTCTCTTCCGGCTTAGCGTGTTTTTCTGCCCTTATGTAATCAGTCTTCGAACCTCCTCTAACTAACTATAAAAACACATACCCTGCTTCTCACTCCACTTTCTCGTCTTATGCATTACCACCAGATCCCTCCCCTTTTGAATTCCCGCTTGACGAAGGCTTGCATTCGGCTGCATGCCATAGTATAGACGATAGACAATTACGGGAAATGTAGGATTTGTTCTAACAAAAGTCTACTATTATAAAAATGGAGGAGCTCGTTTGCGGCTACCTTACTTAGCTAACCAGCCCTGGAAGTCGGCCTGAATACCACATGACTTAGCTAGAGGCTTTTGCGATGACACAACCTCGACACCTTCCGGCAAGGGGCCACTGTTTATAGAAGTGATCGAGGAGGCGACGAAGGAATCGCAGAAGGCGATGGAGGGGTGAATCAAATTTGCTTAGGTCAGCAGGTAAGGCGTGGTAGGGTGCGGAGGAACGATATTGGAGGTTTTTGGCTTGCAATGAAGACAAAATGAGTAATGAGAAGTGAACGCGTTTGACGCGTTTGGAACGACGCATCGTGATGCTTGGCATGGTGCTGAAGTTGCGAATGATGCATGTAGAATATTGGCCTTCAACAACACCACGTCTGCAAAGCGCGTCAGACGAGAATCCGTGTGATGTTCTGTAGACGTGATAAAAGCCGGAAATAAGAGGCCACGACCCGTCTATGGTGCTGACGCCAAGGCTTTTGGGCGTCCGTCCCCGACGCCGCACTCTTCATTCCCCTCTCCATACACACTCTAGTGGAGCAACTTTTACTCTCGAGCCACTGACCAGCGCTAGCATGCTGATACGCTGCAGGACATTGGACTCTCCCGTGACGAACACGCCGTATGTCAAGAATGCCTTACAGACAGATTTGCGGCGCGTCACCGCAGAGGACGCACTTTGCCTCAGCCGACGTCTCGCGATGTGCGCAGATGCCGCCTGCGCCACGAATGATATACGCCTCAGTAGAATGTATTCCAGATCCTGGTGCCTTCCGGAAGCCAATGTCGCCCAATCACGTTCGCGGCACAGTCATGAGTGGCAAATCCAGCTTTCAAACATTGATGGAGCAAAGAGTGCTCCTCTTGTTGATTGCCAGCCATTCACTGATTTCTCATTGCTTTCTCAGGTGTTCGCTTCCAGCCACCTGTATAAAAGCTTTCACCACACAGATAGTTCCACACAACAATATACATTTTTCCCTCCTTGCACCATCAAACATACCACCATAGCCACGCGAAAGCTTGATATGTGCCGCAATCTATCCGCAGCTTGTTTCAAAGCGATCGACTTGACGAATCGAACGCCTGTTTATCTCCGAACCTAGTATTGCACACATCTAAATCGTGACTGCTTAGCGCTACGCGCCGGCATCTTCATCGCCATGTTGCCAGAAACCCTCTGACGATGCGTCTACTAGAAGCCTCAACACTGGCAGTGCACACCCAACTTTAGCTCCTCCTTGATTCAGAGATGGCCCCCGATCCCGTGCCGCACCGCGAACTTCACCTACGACGTCGTACCTGGCTCCTCTTGCACTCCATCGCCGCAAATGTGTCCAAAAGAAATCGAATTTAGATCACAAGGAGCCATGTGTCCTTTTTCAAAGGACACGGTCAGGCAACCCGGGGGAATGTATATAAGTCTCTCGTCTAACTTCCCCATCTTTCCCATTATCTTCTCGCTTGTTCCAGCGTTTCATTTTTACGTCCTTTATCTCTATGATATACATATCACTGTAGGAGAATCTACTACCCTTTCTCTTTGGCTTCAGAGAAGGTATTTGATCTATTTTTGGGGGTATTAAGGTCATAGGATCAATCACCACTTCAGCCAGTATGCCAGGCCATCCGCGATGGTCCTGGACGGTTAGATTCCTAGTAAGTGTGCGACCACCTCGATATGCAGATTCTAAATGTCGCAGATTTCAGCGCTCTTGATTGCTTTCCATCAGCTTGTCTTCCGTAATGAGACTTGGGTAGACCTCGGATACTTTAACAACCTTCCAAAACCCTTGGACCTCTTCCGCCATCCACAATCGAAAACCCAACGTTATCCTACACTCTTGCTATCCATACCACAAGAAGGCGTTGTTTGGAAGCGAAGCCAAGCGACTGGCTTAGATAGTCCCTTTGGTGGTACTTTTGGTGCTTCCCACTCTGCTTCTGGTGCTTTTCACTCTGCTTCTGGTGTCTTCGGTCCCACTGGACCCATGTCACCACCTGGGAGTACTAGCACCTTTCAGTCGTATGGAACTTCGGTATCGAGCATATTCACATCAGAAAGTTCATCGGGAGGTTCAGACAAAACAGCCGCTCTGTCTTCAACTACGACCTCCGCTGCTTCTAGTTCAAGTTCCTTCGCTTCAGTGTCATCAGCCAATCAGAATTCAGGCGGCTCCGCTAGCTCCAGCGCTAACATCCCACCTTCTACTGTCCAGGTCACAGCGACCGTCACTTCCATCCAAACCTCGACCGTCCAAATTACACCGGTGGCCCAAGGACCCGAGATTGTTATCGGTTCGAACACTTATCCGTTCGAAACGAAGACCAGAACTATTACCCAAGCAAGTGGTGGTAACATCGTAATCGGGCCAACGCAGGTGGTGTGCGGCACAGTCACTATCCCCCTCGGCGTTACCGGCACAGCACCCCAACTACTATCCTGCCTAGGAGAAACCATGGCGGCTAATCCGGCTCCGACATATAGAAACTTCTCCGATCTCGCGAAAGAATTGGATGTTGTCGTAGATAATCAAGAATTTGTGATTCTCCCATTCCCGTTCGCAATTCCACGCATACTCCCGTCCGCCACCAAGGTCGACAAGATTGAAATGTCTCCTTCCGGCGTCATTCTTGGAGGAGCCAACATGCCTATACCATCTGGGCTCACTAAAGAGACTAACCTTGGCAATGGTGTTAAAGCTAAGCTGGGAGGGAAAGAAAAAAAGAAGAAATCCAACTGTGGGGGCCTATTCGCCGCCATTAAATGCTTGGGTGATACTGCGGGGAAGGCAACAGAAGGAATTGCAGGAATTGTGAAAGACACGGGACCCTTCGTGCAGGGCACTGTTGATTCCATTGAAGAGGGCGCAATCACTAGTAAATTCAACTTGGTAGACAGCTGTAAGTATCCTAATTATCTATCAATGCTGGCTACCCACCATACACATTGCTAACTAGCCCTAGTCGCACAAGACTTCGCGCATACAGTCAACGGCCTCATTGATGATTTCTCTTCTGAATTCTCTAACGACCTTAAGTCTATAGACGGAAAATTCAAGAGTCCAATACCAGGAGCCGGACCACCAGAAATAGGCCCCCTTCTTAAAAACGCTTGGCTGGAAGCAAAACACATGTCTAATGTCGTTAACGGCGCCAAGAACCTGATAGATGCTCTCAAGAAAGGAGGCCCTCCTGATCTCATCGACGACGTGAAAAAGCAGCTAAAAGATCTCTTGAATACAAACGTGCCAAAGCCAAAGGGTGGGCTCGGCCTTGAGATCCCAAGCCTGGAAGCCCTCAAGGACCTGGTGCCAGAAGATGACCTGCCAACTGAAAGCGTTCCCACAACGGCAACCGATCCTACATCGTCGGATCCACAGTCATTAATTTCTTTTCCAACTCTGTCTTTACACACGCTTTCGCATCCTTCTGCTACATCCGATACATCCTTCGATCAGCAGTCGACAGTTTCTTTTCCAACTCTCTCCTTACCCACGCACTCGCTCCCTTCTGCTACACCAGATATATCGGAGACCTCCACGTCGGGAACATCTTCTTTGGCAACGCCGACAAGTGCTCCATTTACAACTCTACCTACTTCAGGGAGAAGCACGTCACTTCAGGCGTCCACCGCGCTACAGTCAACTCTTTCGACTTCCTTAGGAAGTACCCAGCAGTCTACGGCGGCATCTACGACTACTAGCTCATCAACTTCCTCTTCGTCGTCCTCTCACACGCCGACTGCCGCAACCCAAGATTACTTAATCATGACCAAGTTCGGCACAGATTACGATACTTTCTCGAACTTTGTGAAAGACTTAGACAACAATTCCGGCGACCTTTCGGATCGTAGCAAATTCCCAGGGGTGGAATGGCCATTCTATTGTACTCAGATGAACGAGACGAAAGCTAAAGAATTGACGGATAGTGATAAGTACCCCTTCATCACAGGGGTTTTCGTTAACTCCCCTGGAGAAGATGGAGAGAGACAGCTGACTGCTGCCATTCCTATCGAAGATAAAAAAGAACATCTGCATGTGGCACGGGCTCCCCCAGTTCAAGAAGGTGGGTATCCGCCCAACCCGAACCTTGCCCAGAGAAGATGGGGTTCTCAATCAGTCAACCCCCTTAATCACCTCAATATGATCTCACAGGCGCTCCCTGGAAAGGTTCCTGACGCGTATATCTTTGATCCGTCTCTTGGTAAGGGCAGTACCATCTACATCATGGATACTGGCTTTTCGCAAACCACAGTGAGTGAGGTAAGAAACGTATCGTCTTATTTCTCTTTTTCACTTAGTAACATTAGTTCCAGGAATTCGAGATGAATCGTATTAGATCCCACGTAGTGCCGAATAGGTTCACACTAAGGGGAATCTCGGACACCACTAGGCACGCCCCGGAAGATATGACGGATATATCTGGGTTCAGAGGAGGTCAATATCTTGGGCATGGAACCAGAATGGGCAGTATCGCTGCTGGTCGCTCCGCTGGTGTAGCTTCAAACGCAGATCTTGTCTTTGTTAAGGTCATGAATGCCGTTAGACCTCCAGGCTATCAACCACCCGATCAGAATAATCCGCCCGAACAGTCTGGGAAAGAGTTCGCACTGGTAAACCTCCAAGCTGGGGCGTTAATGGAGGGCTTCGGAGTTATATTTAACGATGTCTACGAACGAAACCTCAAAGGCCAAGCGGTCATCAATCTCAGTCTCAGTAAGAACTCCATGGTATTGATAGGCTACAATCCTAATGATGCTGCTAGATTCGGTAGAAGACGATCCAAACTTCGATGCCGTTAGCGATGTCATGAAAGCCGCTATTCAAGCATGCGACGATCTTGGAATCGCAATTGTGGCCAGCGCCGGTAATTTCGGAAATCCGAAACTGGATGAAGGGCAAAAACTATACCCTCTACATAAGAATGCCATAACAATGCATGGTACTGACAATAATGCGGTAAGTTCTTTAGATTTAAACATGCCACGAACAGGATATCGATGCACTAACTCATGCCGTCCAGTTGATCACCGTTGGCGGAATTGGTCGAGACGGCACCCTTTCGATTGATACGTCACCGCATACGCCCGGTGAAGCCGGTTCAATGACTCTATACGCCGCATTCGATGCGGTATGCGCAACTGCTGTAGATTCACCGGCTTTTGCGTCAATGCACGGCACTAGCGCTTCCGCAGCTCTAGTTGTAAGTCGACCTCCTTTTCTAAGCCTCAGAGAAAGGTCTGTATCAGGTCATTACTAATTTGATGCAGTCCGGGCTCGCAGCATACTTCATGTCACTCGTAGCATTTATTTCGCAAGACTCAGGTTCCCGATTCAAACCCAGGGATCTCAAGCGATATCTCGTACATTATTCGCGGGAATTACATGAGCGAGGGCAAGCTGTAAGACAACATAATTTAAACAATCTGCAATATGATTATCCGCCAACCTCTTGCAACGCTGTCTACAATAGGGCACCAGAAGGGTATGTCCTCTTTGACCTCTTTTCTACCAACAAGGGTGTTGACTTCAATCCCAGAATTTGTGTGAGCAACCCCTTGAAGAGAAGGCGCGATTTTCCCGCACATCTGAGAAGGGAAAATGCGCCCATGTCATCCCAAACAGATAGCCCTACCGCAATTCCCTCTGGGTTCCCATCTCTCAACGCTACGGAAGTTCTGATCATGTCAAGTGGGACTTTGATAGGGACTGCCTTCGACATACGAGAATTTGGCCTCGCGTGCACCTCAACTTCTGCAATACCGTCTTTCACCGCGTCGGTATCGTCCGTTTCAACTACCGTATCTTCGTCAGCGTCAACCAAATCACCAGCTTCATCGGCCTCTCAAGTATCATCGACCACGGCAACTCCGATCACATCTTCTACATCGTTGAGCATACCTCCCACACCGACGTATAAACCTGTAGAAGGCCCCCTATCATGCAATAAGGACAAGATGAGCACGTGCCAACAGGGATCTGTCAAACCAAACCATGTCGACGAAGCCGCCAAGGACACATGTACACAACTGCAAAACATCGACTTCTATCCTAATAATACACGAATCAACGGTTACAGGGCATATGAAGGAGTGAGCTATAACTTCTTCGTTGAGTGGGACATGGGATGTATGAATGAGCCTAGACACCACTTCGATGATAATCTTGCAGTCTGTAAGGACATGTTCAAAGCCATGGTGTTCAACTGTAAGTCTATATGCCTGTTGTGTAACCATTCGAATGGAGATGCTGACATATCTATCAGGCCCAACTAATCACGGCAGCGGTAAGAAAACATGTCTGATATCGCCGCATCTGACGTTGACTAACTCTGAGTAGGTGGAAACCACACGGAAGGGTGTGTACGACTTGGATTTGAGCCCACGTGTACGGACTCCCCGCCACCGAAGATTACCGAAGGCCCACTGGTGTGTAACGAGAAGAGAACTTGCCCCACCGATGCCCAAAGCGAGTCTGTAGACTACGTCGCACGGTCATTGTGCGACTCGAACTACAAGAATAATGAGCTGTTCACACCCAAGGATGGACGATGGGAGGGCAAGACAACCAGAACTACTGCATGGGGTGCTCCGACCCTATATAACGCTTACATGGAGTGGGACACAAGCTGTACCGCTGAAACAGAGCATAAACTTGACGGGGATCCCGAGCACTGCATGGAGATGCTGACGGCGCCTTATCATAACTGCCCAAACGGGGGATTTGGTGAATGACTACTTCCTTCCCCTTCAGCGGCTTAATCTTATCTAATCATGTATTATTGTAGGTGGCTACCACTTAGAAGGCTGTGTTAAATTCGGCATCGACGTCACATGCGACATGAAATTAGGCGAAGGTCCTCTCCAGTGCAACCCGACCTGGAACTGCGACGACGAGATTCAAGAATCATTGGTCGAAAAAGCGCTGACAGATTATGAATCTGCTGTAAACATTGTACGGACACTGTACGCAGACCCCCACAATGATCAGCTGAGCTGGGGTAAAGAGACCCACGGTTCCGCCGTGTACCAGTTTAGTGCTAGGTGGATAAAGGGATGTACAGCCGAAAATAGCCACGAGGTCTTTGGAGGAGATTGGCATAGTGTTTTTATGAGTACGTGGAAGGATTGTATGGATAGGGATAACAATGGAGGGGCCGGTGGCTGGCATCAAGAGGGCTGCGTCGCGTACGGATTCTTCCCGTGGTGCACGTAGCGAGCGGGTTTGGATGCTTTGGCGCAGTTGAGAGTATTAGAGATTTTCGCTTTTGCGTTTAATAAGAAGTATGTTCTACTTTCATCTTCTTACGTCGGATTCTGCCCCTCGCCGGCCACCTCCATGCATCTTCAGCATACTCCGCTGATCACGTGACTCTAGCAATTTCTCAGGCCTTGACACCATAGGTCACAGCGTACCTTAGTAAGGACACTAAATTTCTAAGAAACCGTATCGTACTTCTTAGGCAATGGGACGATGCGCTGGTCGCAAACCAACAATGCCAGAATACAGGACAGGTTTGCGGCGGGGTTTGAGGCGCAGCGTCCTAGAGAACACACTTCGCCTCAACCAACATTCCGCAAGGTGCCTCCATATTGGCAATTTAAATCCTTATTTAGAGCATGGTTGCTTTAGAATATTCTCCTGGCCTCCTACTACGCTGCAGACTTTGCCTTAGGAGGTTTTATCAGCTCCCATTGAATCCGTCCCCGAGGAGCCATATATCCGTTTTTAAAGGGCACAGATTCCAATATTTCATTTTATATATGAGTAGTCTTATCGAAGTTTCCATCTTTCTAAGCAATTTTTTTAAAAGATCATTCCATTTTTTATCTCGCTTCCTATTGGGTTCATCGTAAGCCTAAAGATTACTGCTCGAAACCTTGCTATATTTCTTTACATCTTCTACGACGCCAACCCTAACTACGGCCACAACCACGGCCACAACCCACAAGCCAGTTGAAGGACAGCTATTATGCAACGCTGATAGAAATAGGAACTTGTAAGGGAGGACCCGTCCAGCCAAACCAGGATAATGAAGCCGCCGCTAGTATCTGCCAAAAACTTCAAAACCTGGATTATACCCCTAACAAGGCAAAGATCGAAGGCTACCTGGGGTCGGGAGGAATTTATTACCGATCATTCATTAATTAGGACTCGGGATGTGCGGACGAAAGTGTACATCATTTTGGTAACGACCTTGCCCATTTTAAGGACATATTTAAAGCCACTGTATTCAACTATAGGCTGGCCTGTAGTTCCTATGATCTGATACGGGGTGACAATCCCCTAGGCCCAGGCAATAATGGCAGTGGTAGGGCATTCCTATCATACTTTATAGTATCTTACTAACTCCGAGCAGGTAGAAACCATATCAAAGGCTATGTTAGACTTGGTATTAAGAGTACCTGCTTAGATCCTGACCGAAGCTTACAGGTCTGTAACCGTGGACAATCATATCCCAAGGATGGCCAGGCGGAGATGATTCATTATGCGGCTAATTCCTTATGCTCAAACTACAAGAACATATCACCACTCACACCAAACAGCCAGAAGTGATTTGCGGATTCCCCGAGAAATACACCCCCTACCACATACTCTGCATATATAGAGTGGGACACAACCTATACAACTGAAAAGGAATACACACTCAATAGTTATGAGGATTGCATGCAGAAGTTAACCGCACCTTATCACAACTATATAAATAACCAAGGGATTAGAGGCCACCGCTTGGAAGGCTGCGTAAAACTCGGCATCGACGTCACCTGCCCCCTCATTTGCAATCCCACGCCGTGGAACTGTGACGGAGGAGACATTGACGAAAAGCACATCGAAGAATACATTGAAGAATTCCAGGGTCATCAGAAGAAAAATTCAGACCACTATATATTATCTTCGGCTGATGGTCAAATTCACAGACACGAGATCGATGACGATCATAATCACACTGTAGTGTACGTTTTCAGCGCCAACTGGACGACAGGTTGCACAGCCGAGACTAGCCATAATATCTTTAGAGGAGATTGCCATGAGCTTTCCAAAAGCACTTGGAGGGAGTGCAAATACCAAAATAGCGGATCTGGTGGTCCGCATATGGACGATTGCGCCTCGTTCAGTTTTAAGCCGTGGTGTGATATGAATGGTTGAGAGACTTTAAACGATACTCAATAGCTAGACTGCACAGATCTAGCAGTTTGTATTTCTTGCTGTCAAGATTCATGCTGGCTTTTAAGTCTGTCCCACCAGCCTTCCATCAGACCAAGCCATCCAAGTTGGGTTTCCAGATGCAGAGGAGCAATTTATCTCCGCAACATAACGCTGTTGCTGCTAGGCATCATAATTGTCATTCTTGTATGCGTCTTAACCTCAGCATTGTTCTTTTATATATTTCCATTTTACTGGTCGTCTCGTCGGTCCCCTGATGTTGCATATGTAAAATTCGATTTCAGAACACCATCCCGGCCTGGACCCTCACCACCAAAGATCAGAGTACGACATACAAGATGCCGTACCATTCCAAAGCTAGCGCCATAGGGATTGGTACGAAGTCGACAGAATTAGGGCTAGTACGAGATGCGTACCATTCCAAAGCTGGCGTTATGGGATTGGTACGACTCGCATACTAGTACAAATTCGGCAGAATCGGGGCTAGTACGAGAGGCGTATTATTACAAAGTTGCGGCATGGGGATTGTTGAATGTCACGGTTAATGGTGGCTGAAACGATGTGACAAGGGGTGAGAATGGATACATATATGAGGCACCCCGCCCATCCATAGCCAGACAATGAAAAAAACAGACACAATCACTTGCTCAACAGGTTATGAGCCCGGCTCGCACGATTCAGGTTTTGAGAGATATATACCTACAGCTAAGCTTCCGCAGCAAGTGATGATCTTATGAGCGATGAAGTTAATATCTGCGAAACAGTCCAATAAGAACTCGGAACAAGACGGATCACCCTCCATCCGACGAAATCACAAACACCATAAATGTGATAGGGGTAGATATCACAGTGATAACCCCTGTGATAGGCGAATTGAAACCATGCCGAAACGGAAGGGGCAGAATCGACCCCACAACATGCGCTCTACGTCGTGCATATGAAATGACACCGAGAATACAAGAAGAGGTCGGGAAAGATGTCAACTCCAACGACAAGATCGCGAATTGACCTCCTCAAACCGCAACCACTACGAAAGAAACAGCGAAACAAAACCCACCGCTGGACAAGAGAGGAAGTAAATGACATCTCTTATCTTCGGCTAGACCGTAAGTGGACTTGGGGTCAGATTCAAAGCACGCTTTTCCCGTCAACATCGGTTGGCGCAGTCAAGATCGCATTCTTTCGCCTACCTCTTAAGGAGCGTATACGCCGCGCGTTAATTGTGTCCTCCCGCACCGGGGCTATTAAGCACTCCCGGTTTAAACAAGAACCAGACGCCCTATTTTCTAAGGCTAGGAAGAAATATATTACTAATAACAACAATATCACGCGTTATAACCTCCGACCGAATAGACCTATAAGTTTCCAGGGAATTAGGTCGCAATACCCGGTTAACCGCCGATAATTTCCCTACTTCTCCAGGGCGTGCAAAAAATACTCTAAGCTACGCAAGGCACTAGACGGAGACTACGAGCCCCCTTCCTATTTGCCTACGCCAGGCTTGTCTAATTGCAGCCCTTTTATTATCTTAAGCAAACTAAGTAAAGCTTTAAGCCTTAAGCTTTTTGGCCTAGAGGCACGCTCCGCCACCGCATCTAACTACGCCACCTCTGTTGCCCCAAGCCCGCTTAGCAATAAATTAGAGTTTTTTAGCGCAGAGGAGCACCTAATTTCACTATAACTAATATTATAAAGTTTAAGCAATTTAGCCTAAATATATTCTATAATACTATTCTAATATTAAATAACGCTAGTAACTAGTTTAGGTGGAACCAGAAGGTTAATAAATTTATCCGAATATCTGCTATTGCTAAAAACGGAGCAACTCCACCTATAGAAAAAGAGAATATATAATAATAGCAGCACTGCTATAAGTTCTATACGGCAATAATTGCAGCAAAGCTAATATATAATACCGCGTAACGGATTAATACTTTTAAAATCTATTAAGTTTAATTTCTTTTATAGGCAGTTAAGAAAAACTTTAAACCAGAAGGTTTAGGAATATATATTAACCTATAGCAGCAGTATATATCCCTTATATAAGAAAAATATAGGAGCACTTAGGCCCTAGAAGCTAAGATTAGAAGGATTTATACTAAGAAACTTCTCCTTAACCCTAATTATATTACTTTAGAAATTAAGCGCATATTCTTCTTTATACACGCGCTGGGCGCTAAATATAAAGGCTTCTATAATTATATCTTTAGGCAGATAGACCTTATTAATAATAAAAACGCAAACGGGCATATTATTAAGGCTGCACCTATATTTAACTATATTAAAGGTAAGGCAATTAAGGAAGAATATAGGAAGGGGCAGCTGGGAAAATAATTAAGTAATATACAGGCGCTCCCTACTTTTACTCTAATTTAGGGGCCTGGCTAAAAGAACTTTATTCTATTATCCGATAGAACTATATACTAAGTTAAGATTAATAATATTTCCTACTACTTTTTCTGCCAAAAGCTCTACTATATTAAAACTAAATGCTTTAAAAAAAATCCGAGGCTAAAGAGCTAAGGGAAAGATAAAAAGGGATATAAGGCAAGGGTATAGGGCTTATAAGCTAACGGTTGCAAACTGTTAAAGAAATAGCACTCTACTAATAATAAGGATAATAATATAGGTGGCCCGAAAAACCTAAAGAAGCCC